ACTTTTTATGTAAATAAATTTACAATTATCATTGCAGCCATTTAAATTTAAGCATTTTTTGTTTACATGCATTACTTATAACCAAACAACTAATCATCATAATATTCTTGTTTCAAAAAATAAGTGGGGACCTTTATGAAAAAGATTTTATATACAAGTTTAGACATATTTTGGAGTAATAATATCTGAATTTCAAATGCAACAAATTATCTGCAGGCCTTCATCTCCTCTAGTCGGCAAAATTTCATAATTCACTGCAAACAGTCTTACGGGGAATATTTAAAAAACAACAGCCGTATACACGGTCATTGTTTAAACGTAACAGAAGGACACTGTGACGGCAGCGTTTTGTGAAAGATAAATCTCCGAAAAGTGAATTATTTACATTAATTTAGAGAGAAACAGTTAAAGGCTGGGTACGACATTGTCACGAAATACCATACCTTTCTGAATAGACAATGGGACTGTGCAACACAGATTCTTTTTCTGTTAGCACATAACAATAGGCGCGCTTATGGTATTTGCATTTTTTCTCAGGGCGGTTAGAGCACGCTTGCTCAATTTTGATGGACTGCTACTCGGGCTGAGGGTCATCCGTCAACATTATTAATTTTCCTAAATTTATACAAAGAACAAATACTCAGGACAGGCACTGATTGTTTCAAAGTCGATCCTATCGTTGGGATCTCGAAAATTGCTCAGAGATACGGTTAAAACGGATGCAAAATCATTCGTTCAGATAACTGGGAAAATGACACAGATTGCTTCAAAATTCATAGCCTATTTTTCCAAAGTTTTTTATGACGCCGTTTGTAATAGAACTTCAAAACAACTGAACATTAATATTTTGACTTTTCATCTCATATCCTTCATAATCAACTCTGTTTTCCTACGAATGTTTTATTAAAATATTGAATAAATAAACGAGTATGTACTTCCTAGTTTAGCGTTGAATTTATCAATACTGGAAAACTAAGATTATTAAGAAACAATATTCTAAGTTATCATAAATAGTAATACATCTCAGAGCTTTTGTAAAAATAGAGATTTTTAAGCTAACCATCAAAATCATAAAATCATTATTTGAAAGATTCAAGATGGCAGAAGACGTTATTATTGAGATTTTTTTCAATGGATTAGTGGATCATGTGACACACAGGCTTCTCGGGATTATTTGATATACAGGGAAAACCAAATTTGTCTGGCGTGTATCAACACAATGTAAAAAGAGATAGAAGCCGGCTGAAGAACGAAGGTCATCACCACATTGCCTAGCGACGGTGACGCAGAAGGTCGTGCAATCTGCCGCGTTGCCTGTATGTTACACCAGATCCTGTCCTTTCATTTCGACCTAAAATGGAGCGAGGTTAGGTCCGATCCGGAATCGATCCTAAACAGATTCGGTGCAATTCAAAATTCAAAAATGCGTACGCTCAAAAAAACATTATTTGGGGGTAGATAATAAACTAATGTATATTTTCAACATCCATCTTAATTCAAGGAACTGGTGTAACATATTGGCAACGCGCCAGATTGCCGTGCCAGCATTGCTAGGCAACGCGGCGATGAGCTTCGCTATCTAGCCGGCTTCTATCTCGTTCTAACATACACATGTGTTTATACACACTTATCTCTCGTACACATTGAACTGAAGCCTTCAGACAAATACACACACAGTATAGCGTTTTCAGTTATAAGCGGGTCAGTGTAAAAAACTCTCAGTTTTGACAGCCCGCCAATTGACCATTTTCAAAAACTCAAAACTTTAATAGATACGAGGTTTGTTCAAAAATTATCGCAAATTTTGAATTTTCGCGGGTTAAGTATGTTCGATTTTCGATCTTTTTTGAATGTTCAGTCAGGTTTTGACAGCAATTATGCGAGGACGTGTTTTAGCTTGTTTCCGATTTTTGTCTATTCCAAAAAATGGATCAAAGGATTTGTATTAAATCTTGTGTAAAAAACAACTTGAAGTGCTCGGACAGATTCCAAATGCTGACTGCTGCATACTGCAAAACTACTCTGGAGAAAAGCAACGTTTATCGGTGGTACAAAATGTTCTCAGAGGACCGAGAAGATGTGAGCGACGTAAAGCGTTCCGGATGCCCGAGCACGTCAACAACAGACGAAAACATTGATGAGTTCTTGCCGCAGGGTAGAACGGTCAATTAGGAATATTACCTTCAAGTAATGCGCAATTTGCGAATAGCAATCCGCCAGAAGCGCCCGGATTTGTGGAAGAACAAAAATTGGCTTTTGCACCATGATAACGCCCCTGCTCATGCATCGTTACTTGTGCGCGAATTTTTGGCCAAAAACAACACTCCGATAATCACTTACCCACCGTATTCCCCAGACCTTGCCCCACGTGACTTTTTCTTGTTGCCGAAACTGAAGAGGCCCATGAAAGGACGACGCTACGCCACGATTGAGGAGATAAAGACGGCATCGAAGGAGGAGCTTAACAAAACGTTATCACAAGTGTATAATGTCTGAAGAGGACAAAATAGATATTCATGAATAAATAAATAATTCTTGAAAAAACATGAAATTCGCGATACTTTTTGAACAAACTTCGTATATCCTGCAGTTATGAGGTACCCTCAACAAGTTTCGAAATGAAACATCGCATAACTATTCCATTCAAAAAATTTAACACTGTTAGTACTACTTTTTCTATTAAGAAATAAGATAAGGATTCAATATTCATTTGAGTGACTTGCTCGTCAAAATATCAGACAAAGGAGTTAAAAAATATGGGTTAATGCTCTTGTTTTGCAATATAGGAAAAAAATTGCTAGTATGATGCACACAAAACATAGTACTTGTTAAGTCATGACAATGCAAGAATAGGTTTCATTCACAGTCGGTGACATTTTACGCTATTCGGTTCGGATAATGCTAAAGTATAATCCTGATGTATTAAACAGAACAATAAAACTAGTATTGTTACGAAAAAGTGGACATGGATAGGCAAATGATTAGATAGAAAAATGTAATCTATATTCAACATATTTTGAGCTTTTATGTTATTCTCATCACATATAATATGTTTGATAGGCTTGAATGGAACATGTTTTACCAACAACACTCAAAATGCTGCTACGAAGGCCCGATGCCCTAATACACTTTTACTTCCAACGCCTACTGCTGGGGAAGTGTTGTAGTCAAGAAACTAGAAAATGTGATGTGTTTTTTTTTTGATGTTATATGACATGTACATCACGAAAAACCATGTCACTCGTTTCCGTCTGTCTGTCCGCTAATCCTTAGCCCATCTATAACTTGCAATCGCTTAGATTTTGATGAAATTTTCACGTCAGGTAACTACTATGCCAAGCTTTGTAATTTTTGAAAATCGGTCCGGTGGCGGCGGCGTAAAGGACAAAACAAGGAGAAAATCAAAATCGCTCAATACATTTACAGTCGGGACACGTGGTCGGTAGGGACGATGACAGCCTTAATGCGCCATGCTCTTTGTGCGTCTGACTGCATCGCTGGCGTTCTCGATCTCGAGTTATAGTATCGTGGCTGGCACTTATGGCATGGTGGTTCAGCACCGTCACCAGATGGTCGATACTTACTGCAGCGAAGAAACTAGAGTTAGCGTTATTAAATGGGTGGGGACTATGTAGTATGGACTAATTTTATGGGCATGTTTGGCTGACTTGATCCATTTAATTTTTTTGTTGTTCCATGTTTGTAGCTAGCTAGCTAGGGACTAAATTGTACCGAACCTTATCCTTTATTAACTGATGACAGACAGCGTTGCGTGGTAAATGGAGAGTTAACCAACTTGAGGACATTTTTTTTGAAAGGGGAAAGAGGCCAAGAATAATGGACAGATAGAGGAAAATGAGCGACAGCGTTGAAAACTATTCTTTCTTCTACGAGTAGTACCGACGAAAGTAATAGATTTAGATAACGAAAATGCTATGATTCAGGCATTTTGCAACAGATATGACTTGTAAAATATTATTGCAAAGGTAGGAAATAAAAAATGAGAGGGAAATGAGGCATTCAACTCACACATACAACCACGTAGGCAACACAAAGTATTTAAATATATTCAATTATAGTAGTAAAAGTGCCAGACGAAGAGAGTAACTGAAATTTATGGTAATGACCGTTAGAATTGCGTCCGGCAGTCGCTACTGCTACAACATGTGCTTTAAATGATCAGGTAGAAAGTTTAAAATGTAACAATACATACATATATAGGCAAAAATTGGTACCCGTGTTGATTACGCGTTTTCAGTTTATTCTCAACAAAATATACAATATATTTTGGACAAATGAAGAAACAACCTTTCCAAAATAATCAGTAAATAGTGACGGTACGGACCTCAGCAAATACTTATCGCCAGATATTCGCCTTTGAACCGTCATTAAGAGAATAATCTTTAAATTAAAGCACTTTTTTGAAGTTATTTGAGGAGGACTACTTTCCTGTAGTGTCACTCGTATCTCCATATAGAGTTCTCCTGAAACATTTTTGTGTAGAAACTTGTTTCATTTACTTTTGTGTTTTACTTGAATCTGAGATATTTCTATAACCATGTTCTATTAATACATACTTTTCCTACTTCAAAATCATAATCCTTTCCTGTCTTACATTTTCATTGCAGCATTTATTATTCGAATCTGTATAAATCTGACCTTGCTGGATCAAAGTGTTGATTTATTGATAAATAAAATTAAATCGACACAGAAGACAAACTACTTTCAGCCTGCATATCTACTTTTCTTCATTGATTTTTTCAACTGATATGTAAAGTGAATGTTCGATTTTACGATTATTAATATTTATCATAATAATTGATATAAAATCCAGACAGCCACATAAAACTAGTTCCTAACCTTGATCCTAACGATCAGAACGAGGTGCAACGCACCTTGCATAAATATGTGTAAATGCCAGCGTGGTGAATGAAAGAAACTAAAGGAAATGACATTAAGAATGAAATTCACATGTGTTTCATTTTGGTCATAGGTATGTGGGACTTTACTAGTTAATAGAAAATAACGTCGAGTAGAGTGATTCTGCACTTCCCACATAGCGCTGCCACCAATTGGAGGATTATGTCCATGAACTACTTTTATTTCATCTTCGGGAGCTTCCGGAGTATCTTGAACATCACGGGTTGATTAGCGACAGGGAGTATGGTTTCAGGCACCAGCGATCCACGGCGAACCTCCTAGCTTACGTCACGCAACTGTGGAGTAAACTCGTCCAGTCATATGGTGAGGCTCATGTTGTTGCTCTAGATATCACGAAAGCTTTCGAGAAGCTGTGGCAGGCTGCTCTCTCTATCCTATGGCAGTAATTGACAAGTTATCCTCTTCATCCCACAACGTCAAAGCGGGTGTTCCCCAGGGATCGGTTCCTCTTTCATATCAACGAACTCCTATCCTGCACGATCAATCCGATCCACAGCTGTGCTGGTGACAGCACTCTACATGCTGAGAAGAACACTAACAGTGACTTTTTTTCTGACGAGAGATCTGGAGGTTATTACTACTTGGATATTCAACAATCTGGTATAGTTTAATGCTTCCACAAAACACGGTAATGTACTTTGACTAACAAGAAGCGCCCTAGCTCAGATGCGGTTTCGAGTCCGGATCACTTGATCTGGTTCGAACACATCTCGTCAATCGCGGCAGCTGCTGGAAGAATGCTAGGCTACCTGTTTAGTTCTTTACTCTACATACCCAAGTCCAAGGCAAGATCTAACCCCGCGTACTGCTCACATTTTTGGGGTGCTGGTACGACTGATCGATGACTCTTCTCTAACACAGAGGACAGTTCGCCGGCAATTTGGTTCTGTGCTACCGCTATGTCAACAAGCTTTGCTCCTCAGAGCTTAGACAGACCCGTCAAACTTCGGCCTTCCATCCTAATATGTGTACATCCTGAACTGACCGATACGACCGCTCTTTTGTCCCTGTGGTATCCAGATTGTGGAACAATCTATCTGAGTAGGTTATACTAACCCTATACCCGTTTTACATCAACAATTTCTTCACGTATTTGTTCAGATAAATTTCTTCAAGTTCATCCTGATTATGTTTTGCGGTGTTTACATCAATGGGCAAATTCTGGGATTACCTGTCAGTACACAGTGCTGCCATCCACACAACAAAGTTTTACTAGAAATGTTTCGAGTTTTTTTATGTATTGTGGTTTTTATTTTGAAGCAAATCTCATAAGCAGAAACCTGTAATCCTATCAAAGTTATATACCTGAAAAGTTGTTCAATATAAAGGAAAGGAAGACCATCGAATTTGACGTCCAACTTGGTAAAAATTAGAACAAGTTCTAATTTCGTAAAGAAATCCACGAAGAACTTCATGAAGACGAATTCCTGTTTTACACTTTTAAAATTCGACTATGAACTCAATTCATGAAGAAATATATGGTTTTATTGTCAATGTAAAACGGGTATTAAGCAGTTCAAAAATCGGATTAAGCAAGCATCTTTGATCTCCTCATAGCATCTGCGGTGCCCCGATATTTAAGCTCCTGCCTACACAGCTGCTATGACATAAAATAAGAAATCTTTCTTTCCAGATGCCTATCATCCGACGACCACTCTTCCTCTACCTATGCATAGCCCTTGTGACGTCATCGGTGGCGCAGCAGCACAGAAAGCACTCCTTCCGGAGACATCTACCTCCTCCGGCTCATCTGAGGGTGGTGGACCCTTCCACGGCTGACGACGCAGAACTCCTCGACGGGGAGGAAAGCCAGGGTGTAGGTGGCGGGGGTAAGAAGCAGACGCATCAGAAGAACAAACAGACGAATGGGGATGATGAAGATAAGCCGAAGACGCTGTCGCAACAGGTGGCTGACGGGAAATACGGGTTGATACAGAACGAGCTGTTCAGGAAACCGCCCAAAAGACCGGGGGTTATTAGTTACAATGACAATCCAGAGGTGAGACGAGTGGATCAAATTGCATAATATTTTTAGGAATTTCTTGACAAAACAACCTGGAACGTTCATGTTTGACTTGATTTTTTTATTGTTCTACTTGATGGCAAATTATATTTATGTTCCACTAAAGGCCTTCAGTGATATTTAAACATACAACAGATGAATCGTATTTTAAAATAATTACGAGAGGTGGTTAGCGGATGAAAAGCTTATTGAATTTTTTCCATTTTTTGTATCAGCTGATGATGTTTTTTTTTCTATTTTGGTTAACAGTTTTATGTTCTATACGATGAACACAATATTTTGCTCGATATGAATTGTTTTCTCTGTAACTTGTCACAAAGACTTTCCCTTACGTATTTATAATCTGCTCATAATCATATTACAAAAAATATCAAGCAGTTGAATATTTAAGTACTTGACGTAAAAACAACTTGATTAATACATGACTTCAGCTTGACTTGACGGCGCGTCGATTTAGCGACCGAATACCCATGTTCGTTTTGACGTAGAATAAGTGAGTTTTGAGTAGGGTATAACCACGTTTCAGCTATATAAGCTGTCTCAGAGTATGTAGTCAATGATTCGGAATCATAGAAAGTACGAGAAATAATGTAACAAATTCCTATGAAAATATGTTTCGAAGCTGCCCGACGCGCGACGGAGAAACTGTAGAGTCTCACCCGACCTCCACACAAAACAATGAAATCATTTCAGGCGTGGTGAAAACCTCGCATTTGTGGAAAAAATTTGCTGGATTTTTATGATCACGTTTGTAGGATATCACTGAATATCAATCAAGATGTTGCCGGGCAGTAAACCGGCGCAAAGATTGAGCAATATTTCTAGCAAAATTAGAAAAAATGTACTTTCGCCTCCAGATAAAAAATCCTTGGTATCTTTTCTCTAAAGTTGGACGTCTTCGAATTATGAGCGGTTTGATGTTTGATATAACCCTAAAAACAATCATTTTTAATGCTTAAAAATTGTTTAAAACTTTTTGAACTTGCTAAATGTATAAATTATAGTCCCCTATTAGTCACCTACGAGTATTTTCATTTTTACATTCCGGATCTCTAAGGGTCGAGTGTTGCTGGTTCTTAGACTATTTGCTAAGAACTCATATATTTGAAGCAAACACAAATTACACTTTTCTCTGTCTCTACCTCTCGGGTGGTGAGGAAACTAGTTTTAAGATTCGCATTCATGTTAAAGTTTTCACCGAATCCCTTCCAATCTTCTGCCAAACAATATTCACTAATCAATCTTTTCAGTCGTGTTGCAAAACATACACTTTATTGAAATACATTTTTCCAAGAGTATAGGAAACGTTCTTCTCAGATGAGTAGATATATCGCCCTGTATGAATATGCTTCCTGTGCAATTCACATATAAATCTTCTCCGTGGTAACTCTGCGGCAACAATGCACATTACCATTGCTATCAGACGCTTTTTGGTTGAAATTTCGGTCAAAATTATAAATCATATCACAATTACGTCAACTTTACAATGTTTAAATAATTAAGAACTTGATAAAATCATATGCCCGTCCGTCATTGGTGTCCATTATCAGTCTCAAACCGATACCATTTTTATCCAACGTAGGGTCGAGTGTCGTTGGAGCTTAGACGATAGATAATTGCAATGCATACTGTTGAACAAACTTTTAGTTATTTTGTAATTATTTGTAAAACCCCAACCTTTTTTGAGAAGTTGGTATATTTGAAAATTGTATATCCCCATATGTCATCTTGGAATTGATTAACGTAATCTACCTGAGATAGCCAATCACATACTGTATTCCAGAGTACAAAAAACGAATCTAAAAGATACTAGTACCATCTATGGGATAGTAGTAGAACGAAAAAATGAATTTATAAATTTACTTTGAAATGAGTTAGAATGTTCGGTTCTGGTACTGTGTGGCCTCTCTAATTCCTATTTGATTGGATATCTTCAGATGGAGTAAATTAATGATCTTGGTGAACTCGTACTACTTTCCTACTACTGTCTTAATTTTTTAGGTACCAAACGACACGGCATCGAACTTCGGCGGTCTGAATGAAAACGAAATCTGGCTGGCCGAGAACCACCTCCTCGTACTAAGAGGTGGCCAATATCCGCCGCACAACGCCAAAAAACCACCGGATGAAGAGAATGGTCTGCTGATGTGGCCCCCCATCGACGACTACAAAGCGCCCCCGCACCAGGTCAAAATCCCAAAAAACCCAAAGGTGCCGCCGCCCTTTCCCGTCCCATTTCAAATCTTTGCGGGAACGCAGAATGCACAGAACCAAACAGGTAGGACATACCCCCCTGTAGTACCATCTTTATGAATGCGGGTTGACTATAACTAATGCAAATTCTTACTTGGTTTCAGCACTTCTTTAAAGCGTCTAGGAATCTATGATTTTATAATATTAAGTATCCATTGTTTTCAAGAATTGGTACCCAACATGTATAAAAGTGTTTGCCTTATATTTAGGAAACACCATAAAAGTGTTTGCTCCATATCTAGAAAATACCTTATACCATTGATTGAAGTGTTCTACCTGAATAAAGCCAACTACATACTGCATTTCGGCGCCCAAGAAGGTATCTGAAAGATACTAGCGCCATCTATGACGGAGTCAGAGAAACTTTATTTATAATAACCTTCCCAAAAGGTTAAAACAACATTACTTAATCCCTCAAACATATAATTTAGATAATAATTAATTTCTTTTTTCATCGCCTGATTTATTCAGTATCATATTTACGGAGAGTATGCCTTTTTCATTTTAATTTTTTACTTTCGAAGTAACTAACTAAATCTATATGTAAATAGTTTATTGTTGTGAACATCTGCTAGCAACCATATGGTTATTTGTAAAAGCATGCTAAACTTCGCCATGTAAGTATCATATTTGTATTACAAAGTAAAATATAAACATTTTTCAACATAGTCACCATAAAAATTGAAACATTTGTCAATTCGGGGCACCAGCTTTTGGACCCTGTGGTAAAAGAACGCTGACGCCTGACCATTATACAGTTATTTTTTCTCTTTCTTTCAAATGTCATCATTTTTCAAGCGTTTTCCACATTGTATGGAAAAAGACGAGTGGTTCAGATTTGTGAGGTGGATGATTCAATAATGTTTCATAGCACCTCTCAGCATTTAAGGCAGGACGAACTTTTTTGCATTTGAAAACTGAATTACTGAGCGCAGTTCAAAATCGGTGGGTTTGCCGAGTGACATGGCGATAAACAAAGCAGTATAACCACGCAACCAACACCGACAGAGACGCGAAACGTAATGGCCGCTTAGTGGAAGACTGGCCAAAAGTGTCTGAGGTTAAACGGACGTCACGTGATAGGATGCGCGGGCATAATGCACTTTCTTTAAAAATAGCCATCGTAGAAATCTAATTTAAACATAGTTAGTGTTTGTTATTGCTACTGTCTCAGAAATGGAGCTAGGATGTTCAATCCCTTTTTGATCTTTCTAATGCCTATTTTAATTGAGTATCTTCAGACATATTCCACCTAAAATTACCTGATTAAAATAAGCATTAGAGAGGCCAAAAAAGGATTGAAGATCCTGGTACCATCTATAAGACAGTAGCTGAACCAAACACTACTTTCAAAGTAGATTTCTAAATTCATTTTTCTTTTCTGCTGTCTGCTAATAGTTGTGGTAAAATACTGTATCTTTGATTCCTAATATGTTTCAGATTCCACCGGTGCGACGCAAGAAGCGTCCAAAGCTACCAATCCCGATCCGTCCCACGCTACTGCCGGGCAAGCTGCGGTGCCAATATTTGAACCAGGCGGTCCGGGGGAAGAGTGGCGGGGGTTGCCGCTCCCCCCATCCCAGACGCAATTGAACGGCACCTGGCGACCGCCTTTCTTGGAGTATTTGCCCCCTGGGGCGGTCATACTGCCCCCACCGGACAATCGCACCGAACAAATCGACGAAGAGGACCCTTCGATCTACTATCCGCCGCCGTACACTTTCTATTACCGCCAGGATAACACCTCAAAGGTCAGTTTCAAATTTTCACAGTTGCCTCAGGTAGGCAACACAACCACTTGTTCAACATGATAAAACATTCTTTCTACCCAATTTTATTACGGACAAATTATTCAGCTTGCATCAAATTCAAATCAATCATCTTCAAAGTACTATCCTCAGCTAGCGATAGACTTATTCCAACGGTGATTCCATGATTGGAAGCATTTCTGGAAAGCTTATTTCGGAAAGACCTTTAGCTGCTCTTTCAACCGCGGGAATGGTGTCAAAACGCTTTCCTTCAGCGCAGTTTTTATGTTTGGGAAGAGCCAGAAATCGCATGGTGATGAATCCGAAGAATAAAGAGGAAGAGGACAGACATATTTTTTGCCAAAACCGAATCAGAAAAGTTGTGTGGCTCTGTCGTGAAAGGGAAAACCGTTACCCCATTTTGCTTCCCTTTCTCAGTACATCGTCTTGCCAATGTTGTAATACCCCCCTCGCCTTGGAACGAACTCTGATCGCACTACAAAAGAATGGAATCAAGTAGGTTGACTCTGTGCCTCCCACGTAACGTCGTTATCAGTTAATAAAGGATTATCTTCAGCACAAGTTAGACCCTCCGAAGACAGATGGTCCATAGAAAATGTTTCAAAATGATTAGGAACCTCTTAAACGTCAAATAACGAAGTTTGGTATATTTTTATTTTTTCGCTTTTGACCTATTTCTCTGTCGCCAATGGACTGATTCTCCAAAACTGCATAGCTTCGTCCTTGGCTTAGTTGTAATCCGATGTAAAATGTCCATCCAAATCCGAGCAGTACTTTCCAAGTTATAGGCGTGCCAAGGATTAGCAGACAGATAGACAGACGGACCGACAGACAGGCAGGCAGACAGACAAACAGACAGACCGACAGAAATGAGTGACATTGTTTTTCGTGATGTCATATAACATACAAAAAAAATAATCTCATTCTCGAAATTTTAGGCAATTACAATACTTCCTTGCCGGTAGGCGTGGGAAGTAAAAACAATGAGCATGGCGTTAACGTTCGGCTTTGACTGCCTCCTTAAGTTGAAGAGAAGCACTCGTTTTCCACTGAAAGAGGACAGACATATTTTTTGCCAAAACCGAATCAGAAAAGTTGTGTGGCACTGTAGTGAAAGGGAAAACCGTTACCCCATTTTGCTTCTCTTTCTCCGTACATCGTCTTCTCAATGTTGTAATACCGACCTCGCCTTGGAACGAACTCTGATCGCACTACAAAAAAAAAAAAGGAATCAAGTAGGTTGACTCTGTACCTACCACGTAACGTCGTCATCAGTTAATAAAGGATTATCTTCAGTACAAGTTAGACCCTCCGAGGACAGTTGGTCCATAGAAAATGTTTCAAAATGATTAGGAACCTCTTAAACGTCAAATAACGAAATTTGGTCTATTTTTATTTTTTCGCTTTTGACCTATTTCTCTGTCGCCAATGGACTGATTTTCCAAAACTACATAGCTTCGCCCTTGGCTTAGTAGTAATCCGGTGTAAAATGTCCATCCAAATCCGAGCAGTACTTTCCAAGTTATAGGCGTGCCAAGGATTAGCAGACAGATAGACAGACGGACCGACAGACAGACAGGCAGACAGACAAACAGACAGACCGACAAAAATGAGTGACATTGTTTTTCGTGATGGCATATAACATACAAAACAAAATTATCTCATTCTCGAAATTTTAGGCAATTACAATACTTCCTTGCCGATAGGCGTGGGAAGTAAAAACAATGAGCATGGCGTTAACGTTCGGCTTTGACTGCCTCCTTAAGTTGAAGAGAAGCACTCGTTTTCCACTGAAAATTTTACATTTTTGCTTCGGGACCTTAGCTGTTTATTAGGTTTCATCTTCAGTTTTAAGCAAACTGACATATACTTTTCTTTTTGCCCGTCTCTCCGAACTCTAGGAATAAATTCCCCATATGAGACGTTTACTTTTTCGGCAAACTCTCGAATCGCCAATCGTCTATATGATCCACCCATATTTACCACTCTTTGCATGTTTCTGTTGGTGTTCAAGCTCGAAGGACGTCTCGATCTTAGCTGGACTTTCAGCCGACTCAATCCCGTTTTTGAATCGCCCATATCACCTATAAACAGAGTGTAACCCGTTGTTCGAAATCAATGATGCATGACAAATACAACATCACACTTTTAACTCTGGAAGCTAATAGAGAAGTCCACTCATTTAAATTCACCACGTACTATCTCAATGAAACAGACTATAAATACAGCCGTTCCTGATATAAAAATTCATTCACGTTATTTTTTTATCACACACCGTTTTCAGGTGTCAAAGTTGCCATCTCTCGGATTGTTGTCACATGTTATCGGATTTCCTCTTCCGTCGTTGAGAAACACTGAGAATATGTATTCTAAGAATAATTACAAAGGAGAACTGAGCGACTGAGATTAACCAATTTTTCACGCAGCGCTAGCCCATAGCAACCAAGTGCAACTGAACGTAACCATTTATTTATTCGTTCATTCGACTGTATTACAGGTACCTCCAGGTCCTCTAGTACCAGGGATCGTCCTGCCTCCACCTCCGGACTTCTTTGCTCCTTTAGAAGAGGAAATCGTCAACAACACAATCACAACTCCGACCAAACTGACCACAAATAAGCCTCATCGTACACGAAAACCAATCACAACCCAACATCTCAACACCCAAATCAATCCAACCACAACCCCTCTTCCACCGACCACCCAGAAGTCAGTCAAGATATATCCGGTTGTGAAGACTTCAACCACAACTACTACTTCTGCACCTACGGTAATGATAATTAATTTTAATTTTTTGAGAAGATTTAGGACACATTTTTCCATTGAAAATGAAACAACAGATGCGCGGATTTTATTTTTTAAAGACTACATTATTTTATACCTCAAAGTTCTGCGCAAGGGTCACTATAGACCAACTTCCTGAGCTGTTTCCACTAAAGCTTATGTCTCGGTTTAGTGATATTGCATAGCCACCACCAGAATTGACCCCCGTGGATGTTTTTCCGAGGAAATACCTCGAGAGCAAAGTTTGCGTTAACACTCCAAACAACATCACTGATTTGGGAAAAACATACCTCTTGAGGTAAAAAAATTGAATCAGATGTATCAGCGTGTTAAGCAAAAAGAGCTGAAAAGATTCCCTGAATGAATGCAACGAAATGGAGGACATATCTACATGACGTAACCTTTCAAAAATAGGATTCGCGCATCTGGTGCTACATTTTTTCAAACTTTCATTTGAAAGTCCTATGTTCTACTCACAGCCAAATGAATCCACAGATGTAGAAGTAAAAGGATAAGTTGCAGATGTTGGAATATCATAAATCATATCTGTGATTCCCTTGATATTTAATGAAAAAGGTGGTTCAGTTAAAATACAAAATAGTAATTTTAAAATTAAAAATACGATCCTACCCTAGATCCATTCTACTTCGCATATTACTATACAACGATACTATAATCAACCCAAAAACAAAAGTACAGGTTTTTCATAGAATCAAAGTTTAGAAACACAAAGCATGATTTGCCATTTCAATATTTTTATATTATTTTTCAATATAGGTACAAGATTTTATCCTCTAGTCTACACGATATTTGTTAAAAATGGTGGATGTGCACATGTTTGGTACAGCTCCATTCATGATGTATCATTTCACCTGGAGCTTTTAAAATACAAAGAAAGTAATAATGAATTTATTAAGGTCTGATTGAACAATTCTGTCATATAGAGCAAAACAGAGTTTTTAAAGCCAAAATGACATTTAGTACACAATGATGCATCATTTTTAAAGATCTTTTTGATAAAAATTTGATTGAATTTTGCCTTTAGTATGAGCCATAGCTACTTTAAACAGTTTTTAATAAATGACAATAAATAACGATATGATTAAATCATAAATTCTTATTTTATAACTTCATGTTCAAGGTGGTCACCATTCTACCTGTACGTCAAGATCGCATCTATCTGCCTAACAAGAAACGACCTCAAGACGTAACGGTGCTCAGACCTGTCCAACCTCAAACCACCAAATCACCTCACAGAGGAGTGTATGTCTATGAGAACGAGATTCCTAATAAACCGTATGTGCAATACGCTACTCCAACCAAGAAGAAGACGTACAGCACAACTCAAGAACCTGTAGAATATTACACAACTCCGAAAACTGTACAGGTAGGTCTATGAAAAATCTAACGTAATAGCGAATAGGCATGTAATGCAAATATCGGTTATTTATTTTTATGTTCACCATATATTTCTACAGAATGATATATCTAACCTTATTTTATACTCAAGCGCTAAATTACGAGTATTGGTAAGTAAAAAAATAGAATATAGTTAAAATCACGAAAGATGACTATTACATATTATCATAAATTGTACTGAAGTAATCAGTGCACGTATGTCGATGATAAAATCACGATGTCAGGAACATAATGCCAACAAATTTATATTATGATTTTGCGAAGTTAGGTTATTTCATTGATTATTTTTATGTTCATTTTATTTCATGGTTTTGAGTGATACATTAATAATATTTTTAGTGGGGAGTTTTTGTATTAAAATAACAGTTATGAGTAGAATACCTTAAGACATGAACACCAAAGACCAAAGTATTATTCGAAAACAACCTAACCTGCTTGAAGATAACCTAACTATTCATCTTTCAAATATGATCGGTCATGCAAGATGAAAATATCGTCCATCTCTGTCGGATATATGCAAATTAGCAATACAGTTTGTTTAGACAATAAAATTCAGTTTGTCTCTGTCTAACATATCTGAAACTTCATTAAAAATATTCACAAATCGCTGTCGTTTGTCTGAACTCTAAACAAACTGTATTGCTAATTTGCATGTATCCGACAAAGATAGGCGATGTTTTCATGTTGCATTGATCGATCATATTTGAAAGATGAATAGTTAGGTTATGTTAAAGCAGGTTAGGTTACTTTCGAATAATACTTTGGTCTTTGGTGTTAATGTCCTAAGGTGTACTCTACTCATAACTGTTCTTTCAAAACAAAAACTCTCCACTAAAATTATTAAGATATCACTTAAAACCATGAAATAAAATGAAAATAAAAATAATCAGTGAAATAACCTAACTTCGCAAAATCATAATATAAATTCATGACATCGTGATTTTATCATCGATGTACGTCCATTGATTACTTCAGTACAATTTTTGGTATGACGTAAAAGTCATCTTTTGTGATTTTGACTATATAAGCGATAACTTCAAAATATCATGCATGCTTTTGACGTGACGTCACCATTTGTAACTTAATATCAGCCAACCGTTTTTGATTGTCAGTCTTTCACTGTCATTGACTGTTAACCTGAAAGTTTGATGTTTCATCAGTTGGAAAGAATGCAGTTGTTTTTACAACTTTCTCATGTACTTCAGAGCACGGACGCGGGCGCCCATGGTAATTAGTACAATAGTCGTCAAATCGTTGGATACACCATGATCAGCAACAGCCATCGCATCTGTATGTATGACATCTGTGCAGCTACAATGTAGAATGATGGAATTCTGATATTCGCAATTAGTTCACTAAAGATAACTAAAAATATCCCAATTGGTAGGGCTGCTGAGTCTTTTGGATTTATGAATATGTACGCTATAAAGCTTTTCGTAGAAGACTATTGGATCTATATGAACCATAAACAATTCACATACAATACAATAGAAAATAGAACGAACCTCAAACTGGGACAAATATCTCGGAAACATTGCTACTTACGCGCGGTTTTTTCACACATTAGCTCTAATAAGAAACGATTTGCTGGTCGTAATGTAAACAACGCCGAAGTTACGTATTGCCTCATTTTTCCCATAAAATGTAACAAATTTTGCAGGTTACTCCCAGAGGTCCTCAAGAGATACCGAACAACCATTATCTTCAGTATGCATCACCAGACAACCCACAAACTACTGTGACCACTACAAAAGTACCTGCGAAGTACTATGATACCTCAATACATCAAGAAGGTCCTTACGTCCAATATACTAGCAAGAAAACAACCACACCTCCACCCGCAAGGTACCATACTATCACCACTTCCGAAGAGGTGACAAGCAATCCTTACGTTCAATTCGCTACTTCAGGGGGCAAAAAGAAGATCATCGTCAGTACAACGCAAGTACCTTTGAAGTACTATACGACCTCGAACAATCTGGAAGTAAATCCAGGTAAGGTAAAGACTACGTCTAAGCCTAAAGTAGTCCCAAGTGACTACTTCTACTATGAGGAAACGGAGAAGAACAGACAGACGACCACACAGAAGCCACGGTACTATCACCCAAGCACGGAGGGGTACTACATCAAGCCGTCGCCAAGGCCGAGGAGACCGCAGTACATTTATGTGTCGGCCAAACCTTACAATACGCAGAAACCTAGATTCAGACCAGTGAAGTCGCGGGATTCTTTTAGTGTGCATGTTGCGAAGATCCAGAAACATATAAATCAGTATTTACCTACTTCTAGACCGTCGCCGAAACCTGTTTATCAGTACAGCTTTGAAGCTAACGGGTACAAATCTACCAAAGGCAAGTACTGGCACTTTTTAGTTTCAAGGAGGTTAGACTTCCACGACCTAGTCATTCTAAGTTGGAGCCTATGAATATCCTCAGCAATCTCTTGGATTTGAAGTTTTCAGTATTCTGTCTCAAATATGTCCAACCTTATTTCATGTAGCTTTAGAGTCGTCCTTCCAATTTTGAAACTCGTGTTATACTAACAATTTAATCCTCTATAGGTAACTTTAGACCTTCACCCTCGGAACTAAACGAAGACCACTTCAGACCAGTACCAAAGTACAGCGTCGAAATACAGCAAGCCATAGAAGTAATACCTTCCACGGAAGCTCCAAGATACCAAACTACCGTGGCGCCTCCGTCGAAATATCACGAGTACCAAGTTGTGCCAGCAACTGAAGCTCCACCGGTGAAGTACGAACAATATCAGGTGGTACCCAGTAGCGAACTGCCTCCTATGAACTACCAGGGATACCAAATTGTTTCCAACAGCGAATTGCCACCGCATATACCACAGTATCAAATCGTACCTTCGACAGGTAGGTCAATTTGATTGACAAAAAAAAATCGCGTCAAGTAGGTTGACTCTGCAATTCCCACACAACGCTGTCATGAGTTCATGCTCGACCCAAGTTATCACCTCTGAGAAAAAATTAGGTACAAGCATAAAAAACTAATGGCTCAAATGAGTCAAACACGCCCATACAATTATTAATACGTTTTAATGACAAATGTAGGGATGAATCTACGTGCGAAGTATGTCTAATAGGTGCAAAGAATTGCCCGAGTTCGAAGCCTCTAAATATAGTAACGCCAAAAAAAGATATACTCTACACCACCCCCTACAACCGCCACTCCCAATTATCTATAAATTTAAAGAAAATTTCAAAAATGAGTCTCCGAAACGTCAAAAAACAAAATTTGAGCGATTTTTATTTTTTTGTTTTTTTGATAACCTCGCTACCACTAGATCGATTTTCAAAAGCTACGCAGCTTTTTTGTCCTTGACATATAGTATGTGTTCAAATTTCATCAAAATCCGAGCGATACTTTTCCAGTTATCGAACGGACAACGGACGTACCGACAGACAGACCAACGGAGATGACATGGTCCAGCCAAAAATAAATGCTTCCAAAAGTCATTATAATAAAAGAATTGTAAATGTTAGAATATCTGAAAACTAATTAAATAATTTTATGAGTAATCCTACATTATGTTACAGAGAGCCATGTCTACGAGATAGTACCAGTGACAAAATCTCCACCAGTCAACTACCCCGAAGTTGAGATAGTCAAATCCACCGAGATACCTTTCTACGAACAAAGTACTGAAAGGCCAGGATACTATGGCAGGTACTAGTCTTATCTTCAACAAGTTTCATACAGATTCAGTAGCGTCGCATAAACTCTTTGAAATAGCAATCATACAATATAATTTTCATACAGGTACGAAAAGGCGCCGCAAAAAGACAAATACCTGAACAAGGCGGTACCCACGCCAAGGCCAATATCTCAGTACTCGTTCGAAGCAACAGCCAATCCATTGTATCACGGCTTCTATACGAAACCGGAACAGGAGTACCTCGACGATAACACCAAGCACTACTTTACTATGTTTGGGAAGAAGCTGCCAGGATCCACAACTCCTATACCTCCAAGAGAAGGAAATAGAGGACAGTCGTATAATCAGCAGAAGGCGAATACGCCTCATTCTTTGCAGGTACGATCAAATGATTAATTTCATCATTAATGACTTCTATAATATAAAAATATCCCTCTATATCACTCACTGCTTTTTATGAAACCTGTGATGAAACGTTTCGGAGCAATTAAATAATGACATAAAAAACACTTTGGTACGATCGTACCACCTAAGTAGGTATTGTCTTTTTAATATCATTTATTGGATTTGATACTGACTAATACAAACTATGCTTTATGCGCACCGCCGTTGTTTTTAACACCTATTTCGAGAAACTTCAGTTATAGGTTATTTAGATACCATAGCATTATTTAATCAATTGTCACCCTTTGTCTTTATTCAGTCTCATCAGTGGCATAGAAATTTACAACACACATATTTTGATATCGGCACATTTTAGAACTTACGTTTCTTTTGTTATTTTTAAAAGTACGTTTAATCTTAGAAGTAATGCCACGTTTTTTTAATCTGCCTTTATACAGTAATTTAAAAGCCAGACAGTTGATAATTATGAGTAGTACAAAGAGAGCTCCTCTTTTGAGCAGCACGCTTGTGCAAAAATCATTGGGAAACTATACAGTCGCCACTTCACTATATCCTTAATTATATCAGTTATCGTCCAACCTTTTTTCTTCTTTTCTCAACTAACAATTTTATGTATTATAACTGTCCTAACATGTTTCCAGAACTATTTTTATAAAACAATGCGTTTTATTACGGCTCCCTCAGCCTTTACCGGATAATTGTTTACACGTTTTTAAAATTATTATAAAACATAGTACGCAACAATTACTAAACAGTTATAGAACTAGAATAACACAGTTTTATGAAAGTTGTTTTATTATCTTAGATGCAGCTTTCTGGTTTTGACTAGCACTAGAAGTTTGCTTTTGTTGTTAAATTGCACCCCAGGAAAATAATTTGTTTTTTATTGATCATCGATACAACAAAAAGGCACGCATTAGATCTTGCTAGTCTTGCTTACCATGTCCACTTTTAGAATTTCTCAACCTGCATCCATACAATGACCACATTGAAAATCAATTTCCTAACAATCTTAAAAACCACTACACCTTCCAACCTTCTGCCCTCAGGATGATACGGCCGTAAACTACTTAAACCCAAGACCAACGTTAGAACCTGAAGCAGAAGTGATACGTCACTACCCGAAAGTATCCAGGTACCCGCCCAGGGACCAAAAAGTCAATGAGAGACCAGAGATCGTGAAGGCCATACCCATTCAGGTGCCTTCGGACGACGTCGATGGGACTTTCGTCTCATATCAACTTCCAGGTGACAACGGAGCTCACTTTTATTTCCTCACACCGCAACTCGCAGAAAGAACTCAACAGGGTACTGGGTTCTATTTCACCAGGGCTGATAACCAGAGACGGAGAAGAAATGACACCTCGAATGAAAAGAATGGGTGATAAAGATGTGTTGAGATTGAAACAGAATATAACGTTGGAATGCGATTTCAAAGTGATTGCCATCAAAGTAAAAGAATTATGTTGCCTTTCAAAGAGATGAAGGTTTTAGGAGTTACTAGTCGGTTCATTACTCAAATCTGCTTATCCACTGAAGTGGATTCAGTGAATCTTCAAGACCACAAATTCCAAATTATTAGAAAACACTCCTCCACTAATGATAATGCAGACTAACTCAACATGTTGCACAGGTAGGTAACAATTCGTTAATATGCACCTTCCCAATAGTTAGTAATGACATTTGCCATTCGAAAAGCAACTTCAAATTCGATTTAAAAAAAAATGCGTAGTGAATTGGATCTGCTGATTTCTCACACCCAAAAAAAAGACATGCTGTTATGCTTGGTGGGAACTATTTCAACATAATTGCGAATTAAAAAACAAACGCAGTTTTTAATAAAGTGAAAAATTATTGGTGAGAAAAGTTTCCGTTTTTGCTCAGTTTCTGGCATTTTAATAAATCGGTATGGTGTGCAACTGAAGCAATAACTCGAGAAACTGTGTACTGTAACACATGGATATATGTTCCAATATTTATTTCATATAATGAAGCGACATAAAAACGAAGTGTTCTCAAAACCTGATTTTTCTGAAGACAGAATGGTGGCGGTTATATAACGGTTCTCCAGAAGACCCGTTAGGTGCTCTAAAACGATGTCACTCATCATGAATCATGTTTTAACTCAATATTATCAAATTCCCTGAATAAAAAAGTGTACGTTTCGACAATATGAAGAGTCTTGCAATAATCGTGTTACATTCTGTTCCAACTCTGAAGGCATTTATGAGTGATACTAGGAGTGAGGTTATATTTCCAATATGAATATCATTAGTGCCTAATCAATATAAATGTGAGGAAATAAAACTGAAATGGTCTGTGATCGTAGGTTTCAAATTATAATAAAATGGATATGCTATGACATTGATATGTTAGAATATCAGTTGAAGTTTTGTTTTGCTCGAAATATAAGCTATTTTGATAAACTAAGTTAAACATCAGTGTTTAGTTGTATAAACGCTATATTTTATCTATGTGAGGGTAAATTTACTATAGCACTGTGAAAACGTAAGATAATTTATATGCACGCTTCATAAATGCAGTGCCATTATATTATTACTTTAAAACATCGTTATATTAAAATCTAAATGTCATACATAGACATTAAAGCGGATATAAATTATATGAAATAGGTAATGTGAAGTATTCATTTTATGAAAATTCACATAAACTGTCACATACTTCATAGTTAATACCCTAGTCATAGAGCACTATATTTTTGTTTTATTATGTCAAGCAATAAGTACATAGTAATTTTAAATCTCTTTTAGCACTATAGGAAAATTGGCTGCGTTTTTTCAGTAAAATTGTAAATATTATTTATGTTCCTAGTGATATCTGTAAATAAAGCATTATCCTTTGTTTTTGTTTCAATCAGATAGAAATGATAAGCAAATTAACATCGGATAATACAGAGAGCGGGGCCTACTCAGACTTTTTTTAAATTTCGTTTGAATTTTAGGAGCCGCCGTCCAGCCGGGGCCCTGATCCTTATTCTAATAGGGTAGAAACGGAATAAGCACGATCAACGTTCGGCCATGGCGTCGGAAATGATAAACTTTTGTAAGGGGTTCTCAAGTGGTACTTGGGGTGAAATTTAGCGCCATTGTTTCAACCATTTATACATTGCGTATTGAGCATTTATGTCATATGCCCCAAGAGAATCATATGCACCTGAACTAATCATATTGGACGAAAATACACCTGGTTTGCGAAATAATTGTAACTATTGCTGCAAGTTGTTCAAGGGAGTATTCAAAACATGGACGCATAAAATGGGTACACCAATTTTTGTGGGAAAACTTTTTATTCGACAACAAAGAATGAGGAAACGTGTTTTTTGGGATTCAATCGAAAGTGTTGACTGGAACGAAAAAACTCTTCATAGAAGATTTTTAGGTATTTATAAGACCTACAAAATGAGACCACACGTAAAGAGATCCGATTGACAGCAAAAAAGTTATGACCGAAAACAAAGGCAAATTGGGTTTTGGCACTTGGTAATGCGACGATGGTTTCTCGCAGATACTTGAAATTCTTCAAATTCGTAGGATTCATACTTCTAAATAACCACAACAGAATTGGAGTCAAGCAGTTTTTGAGAATTTCTAATTGTTTATCCAAAAACACCTGTTTTCCGGCCATCACTACTAGTTTATTGAGCAATATACAGGCTCCGTTCAAAGAGCGTTTAATAGCAAAATACACGTGTTTACCTGGCTGATATGAATCGCAAACCATTCCGAAAGATAAATGTTATTTTTATGCGAAAAACAAAGGTTACGTATTTTTCTTCTAAACAAATTCAAACATTTCGTATGTCTGAGTAATTGAACAGATATTATATTCAAAAAACATACGTTACTATACACAAAGCGGATGTGTCCATCATCTTTTGTTGCGAATTACTTCCAAATACGAAATGTTGGGATTTGTTTAGAAGAAAAAAACTTAATCCATTCTTTTTTTTGCATAAAATAACATTTATCTTCCGAAATGGTTTGCGATTCATATCGGCAAGGTAAACTAGTGTATTTTGCTATAAAATGCCCTTTGAACTAACGCTGTATATTGCTCAATAAACTAGTAGTGATGGCCGGAAAACAGTTGTTTTGGGATAAACAATTAAAAATTGTCAAAAACTACTTGACCAATCTACTCCAATTTTGTTGTTGTTAGTTAGACGTATGAATCCTAGAATTTGAAGAATTTCAAGTTTCTGCGAGAAACCATCGTCGCGTTACCAACAAGTGCCAAAACCTGCAGTTTGAATCGGTTTTCGGCCATAACTTTTTTGCTATTAGTCGGATCTTTTTACGTGTGGTCTCATAAATACTTAAAAATCTTATATGAAGAGTTTTCTCACGTTTTCTCATTCTTTGTTGTCGAATAATAAGTTTTCCCACAAAAAGTGGTGTACCCATTTTATGCGTCCATGTTTTGAATACCATCTTGAACAACTTGCATCAATAAAGAGACAGCAGCGGTGGCCGCAGTAGTAGACTCTTCAGTCTCCTGATCAGACGCCGTGCGCTGTGCGGGTTCGAGTCCCGTCCCAGGAGAATTTTTTCTCTTGGCTATGGATGTTGTGATTGTCCGTAGGTGGTAGACGATCTCTGACTGTCGAACGTGGAGGTACCACCCGGCGGATCTCGTAGGCGGAGCCAGAATGTGTGCATGTTGCATGCACACGTGTTCCCTCGCCAGAGTCCGTGTGGCGTTCCCCTTTCCCCTGTATCCCCCTATAGTCCCACGGTACCCAATGGGTGTTTAGGCCTTAGGCCTTCGTGGTAGTTGGAGTATAAAAGAAATAAAACCAGACTTTATAATTATTTCACAAACAGGGGCATTTTCGATTAATATGGGACTACATTCTGAACAAATAAAATTGATAGTTTGTTGTTCCGTTTTCGGCCTCGAAAATACTTCCTGGACTACTAATTTTTCGTGTCGATTGTCAATTTAGCATTGTTGCTCTAATCTTATATAATAGTGGGAAAAAATATTTTCCCTGCAACCAGCTGCATTTTTTGTGCCAACTATGTAAATAGTGTAGAATAATAATAGAAAAGCGCTCGCGATGCCAGCCTCAGTTACATCTTCACTTGCTTTGGCCTATTTCTGAAGTACCTACTGGGAAACCTTTTGTATTATAAAAACGAATAGAAACTACGAAATACCCGCACTGTTAAAAGTGCATCAAAGCATGCATTCACTAACCTGTGTTCAACTCTTGCTCCGCGCTCTCGTCCTTGAGCGGGTCGTCGAACAGCTTGAGGTAGACTTCGATGGCGCATCTGGCGGCCTTGAAATAGAACGGATGCCCTCTGAGGACGTCCTCCAATCGCAGAAGGCCGACGTATGACCGTAACGTCATCTTCCTCGTGCAGTACGTGTGAAAATCGAATTGGTCCTCGATTATCTCGCTGAAGTGCTGAAATTGAAATATCAGTGGTAAAATAAACCGGGTAGATTTTTTCATTAAAATAATGCAAATATGGTTATGAAAACATGTCCAACGAAAGTATGAAAGGCAAAGGAGTGCAGGCGAGAAATAGCGATGTTGCCAATGGGAAAATATACGAATTTTGGGCTGTAATTTTGACTATTTTCGTTACAAATATAGGATTACTGTTATGCGCCGTATTCCTGGCAGCCAGTGAAAATACTAAATCTAGAAAAACCTTCAAATTTAATTCGTAAGTAATCACTGAGAAACAGTAGCTGTAGGCATTGCCCTTGACAAATAAATACGGACCTTATCGCCCTAAGCGAAAAAAAAGTCCTTTTAGAAAAACTTGGACTTTACGCCCAGAGAACCAGTTCATGAAGTACAGTTTATCACCCTGTCGGAGGATAATATATATTTATGTAGAGTGCAAAATGCGAAGCAGCATCAACTCTTTCATGCCAAAAGCCGCAAAGACGTCTGCCTATAGGGTAAGATAAAATGTAATAAAGTTGTGTTCTTTGTTGCGTATTTACATGCCATTGAGAAACTTGTAATAATTTCATGGTTTACTGAGATATTTGGGAAAAACTAAAATTTGGCCAAATCATTTTTTTTTCTCTAACTTTATTTTAGGAAATATGAAAAAAGTAATGCAACTTTTGCATTGGCACTTTTTAGGCACTACATAATAGTGTTTTTAAATTTTGTATCCGACGGTTCGTTTTTGAGGAACCATTATCAACTTCATTTTATTTGGTCCGTAAAAAAGTACACCCTGTGTATAAGAGGCATCTTTTATATGAATTCAACGATGTATAGTTGTAGTCACCGTTCTTGGAGGTTATGTCATCAACGCCATATGAAATAAGTAAACAGATGGTGCCTCCGTACCACGGGCGGAACACTACGCAGACTAATCTTCAATGTCAAATAAGTTGTCACTCAGACAAATATGATTAAAGGGCATTCATAGGTAACAACAGTTTTCGAGACGGAGACACACAACTAAAAAACGTTATGTCTTTGAGCTTACCGAACAAAAGTTCACACAAAAGGGTAGGTTGAATGTGTATGTATGAGGGAGATGGGCTAGTGAGTTTTTTCTGATTTTTTATTTTCTCAAGTAGACATTGGTAACAAATACTTGATTTGACGTAAATACCTGTCACCGAGTATTGTTATTATCGTGTATTGTTAATATTGCTTCATTGTCGTCAAAGATGTAATGCGGTCATTTTAGCAATAAAGAAAAGTTCGACATGCTGACGTGCTACATATTGTGCTACGTGAATACTAAAAATACTGCAGAAATGTATCTTGATACACTTTTCGAAGGAAGGCAGTCAAGTAAGTCCGTTTTCTTAGAGTTGGCTTGAAATTTAAATGAATATGGTTCACTGGAAAAGCCTGTTACGTCTCTAAAAAAGGAATATTTAGAGGAAACTCAGAATAGTGTTTTACAAGCCGTTGCTGAGAACTTTGAAATATCAACTAGGCAAATTGAGAAAAATATAGCAGAATTTATATATTTTGCGTAAAAATTCACATTTCACAAATATTCCGATCATAACCAAGACAGAAAAGCAATTAGAGCTACTGAACAAATACCAAAACAATCAGTTATTCTGTTTTCAAAAGTTTGCCAAAGAATCTGTTGCGAGGAGTTTCTCATCCATCAAAACTAATGCTGTAGGGCTAATGGAATTTCACTCACTATGATAAAATATATTTTCACATTGCTACATTTATTATAAATCACGCCAGAGCAACATCCTGTTTCCCTGATGCCTGGAAGCAGGCTATCATCTTACGTATTCCTAAAGTAGCGATTCCCACGTCTGCAAACGCAACTTAGACCAGTCAGCTTACTTCCCGCATTTTCGAAGCTTTTAGAACGGGAAATGAAGATAAAAATATCTGAGCATATTTTCAGTAATGAAATAGTTCCAATAAAGGCAGCCAGGATTCAGAGAAAGCCATAGTACAACAACGGCTCTAGCCTATATCACTGATGATGTTATAAGAGGCCTTGATCAAGAACATGTCACCTTTAATTTTGTTAGATTACACAAAAGCTTTCGACATGATAGACCCTGAAATTTTGCTACTTAAGCAGCCTTACCGACGCAGCAGTCAATTTGATACAGTGTTATTTGTCAAACAGAAATCAAAAGGTCCTATCAGCTTCGTAAATGTCACAGTCAACTGCTATAAAAATTGGTGTTCCCCAAGGTTCCATATTGGGACCTTTTCTTTTCTCTCTGTATATATATCAGATTTCCATCAATATGTCCATAATGGTACAATCCATCACTATGCTAATGATACGCAAATTTAGTTTAGTTTCCAACACAAAGATTTTAAAATTGCAGAGTCATTGCTCAACGAAGAATCAACAAGGCTAGTAGACGTCTCGTGCTCGCATAACCTAAAAATTAATCCATCTAAATCTTCAGGATCAAAAAACAAAAGACCTTAAAATCGATTATAGCTGGCTTCCTATAATGAATGAGTTTAAAAACCTGGGACACAGTACTAAAACACAAAAATTCGTTATCATACTGCATTTTGAAGCAGTTTTATCCGCATAGTCCAATAATGTCTACTTTTCTATTAAAGCTGAAACTGTGAAACATTAATTATGTCACACTATATTGTGACACTATATATGGTCCCATTCTATCATATAGTGAACAAATCAAATTACAGCGTATTCAGAATTTGTGCGTCAGATTTTCTTGCGGAATACGAAAGTTTGATATTTCTTAAAAATTGAAGGAACTTGGTATTCTGCAGATTAAGGCATGCAAAAACCCCACTTATTGACACTCACACATAACGCGTTAGCTACCAAACACCGATATTTGCATAATAAGTTAGCATGATGTAGCGACATAAATACAAGGAAGACATTGTAAGGCTGTCTACAAAAAATCATTTAAAAGAACGCTATTAAATTATTTAATAATCTGCCTTTTACATTCCAAAATTACACCTTATTTAATTTTAAAAGGAGGCTTAAAGTGAAACTGCACGCCGAGGTCCGATGATGAACAGAAAATGCTGAAAATATGTACTATTCTTGTAATTGATTATATTTTTTTGTGTTGTTAATTAATAAATTATTATTGAGAATTATGCATATATTTCTATTGGTTGAATGTTTTATCATATTTTTTTTTTGTTCTTTCAAAGGTTCAGTTGGAAAACGATACTCTTAGCGACACTTCGCCTTTTTTTAGTTTTGTACGAAATTCAGGTATATCCCATTTATAACTAGACTAAGGGATAGCTAACAAGGCCAGTATTTTTGCGAGTGGTACATATGAACGTGTGAAGATTTTAATTTCCATAAAAATAATATGGTCGGACGAGAGTATGGTCACTAATAATGGTATCTTCAATCGCCGCAGCAATCATTACTGGGCTCAAGAAAATCTGCGGGCTAAAAAAGTATCCAGACATGAAGAACGTTTCGGGTTTAAAAATATTAGGTCCATTTATTTGCCAAAAGTAATTAACTGCAGACCAGTACCTAGAATTGTTGCAACATGATCTAAAATACTGCCTGTTAGATTCACGAATTCACATTAGTCAAACTGAGGGCTGCATTTTCCTTCATATCTGTTAAAGATAGAAGTTTTAAAACCATATATGAAAAACGGAACATTTCGATATCTATATTTACATGAACACATGATTATCATCTTCCATCCATCTGTGCATAATATTTGGCAGTCACTTTATCCAAATAATGCTAAATAAATATTCATCAAAATAGCTTTTTAGGGGGAGGTGAAAATGACTAATCAAATCCTATTTCCTTTAGAAGTGTTGTCCATTTTATACTCGTTATGTGTTAACATTCCAATGAAAGTTATGATTATGAATATATATGACCACTTGCATCCTGCACTTATGGTATTCCAAGGCATTTACCCACCACTATTCAACCAGGATAGTGATCGCCTTAAATTAATTCTCAACTCACCCTGTCGACCTCGTGGCACTTCTTCAACGCCTCCCCGTACTTGCCGAGCCGTTGGAACGCGAGCGCGCACTCAGTCTGGAACCACATGCATTGCATTTCGTTCAGATTCTCCATGGCTGGCACGCCATCTCTCGTGAATTTGGCGCAACTGGCTTCGGCGTCGCGCACCCTGTCGGCCCGCAACATGTATTTGGCGCATTTGCTGTTCACGTATCGGTCGGCTGTGTCCAGCGCCTGAGCTTCGTCCAGCCACGAGCACGCTTCCATCGGGTCGCCAGCGTGCTGAAAAAAATGTTTTTCTTATAATATATAGATAAGGTTGGAATAGTATATCATAACAATAGCTTTCGGTACATCGTAAATAGCTTTCAATACATCGTACAACAGATAATAGATCGTTACTCCACCCTAGGTCAAACACATCTACTTCAAAAACTCGGTACAGGTGACTGACTAAACCTAAACCTTTTCCAGTTCCGCCTTCCATTAGAGGCTTGAATTGCCATAGGAGACATTTTTCAAAGCAACTTGTCTTATTTGTTCATGTTCTGTACAAATCGGCGAGATTACCCATGCAGATGTTGAATCGACCGTGTAAGCAGTTTGCACCTGGTTGCCGAACAACTCCTGTTGTTTTTTTCAAAACATTACTTAATCGAATTAAATTTCGATAATCCGACAAACCCTCAACAGACAGGATTTTTTTTTAAAAAGAGCACCTTGTAATCCGATAAATTATAAATCAAAGAATCTATTTGAACTACAAATCAAACTACATAGTTATGTATATGTACAGGGTTGCCAATATATAACTGACTGATTTAAATTGCGCGCCATTTTTGATACACGCATTTCAGTAGGTGGCGTCGCAGTAGTTGTTTAAAGCACATGTGTCGAATTCATCATGCAGCACTATATGATCCTACAACGTGTCCGTATCGTTAAAACGGTTCACTTAAATAAAGAGTCGATTGTTGCAACGATTCGGAAGCTACGATAAATATCGAAAGAGTTCGTGAAAGCGTAGTGAAGCGCCCTGAGACGTCCACCAGACATCGTTCTCAAGACCTGGGTATTCGTTTAGTGACTATAAAAGTCGCCGGCAATACAGTCATGCAATAGTGCAGCTTAATACCAAAATAAAAATTTTTACCGACAACTGATAATGAGCGATGAAGTCCATTTTGATATGAACGGATTTGTTAATAAGCAGAATTGTCGTATCTGGGCATTAGAGAACCCTCGTGTCACCCATCAACGGCCACTACATCCTCGTCGAGTCACAGTTTGGTGCGAAGTTTGGTATGGAAGTGTCATTGGACCTTACTTGTTTGAAGACGCTGCAAGTAATTCTCTTACTGTCACTGGCGAGCGCTACCGTGATACGGTTGAAAACTTTCTGGCTCCTCAAATCCAACAATTTACCCTGCAAAACATGTAGTTCTTGCAGGACGGAGCAACTTGTAACACAGCTAGGGAAACAATGAATGTTTTGCGAAAAATATTTCCGGGACGTTTAATTTCTCGATTTGGTGATGTCAACTGGCCACCAAGGACATCGGATTTAACGGCACCTGACCTTTTTTATGGGGATTTTTGAAAAATAGGGTTTATGCCGACAAACCACATTCTGTAGAGTAGCCGAAGAACAATATTACGGAAGCGATTGAAAATATTCCTCCAGAAACCTACCAAAGTACAAAGGAAAATATGTACCAATCAATTTATAGAGCATTAAAATATTCATTATTATGAATTTTTAAAGCGCGAGACCAAAGCTTTGTGCCTTAGTCTTCTCAAAAGTATAAGTTTTTTGTACCAGCGTATGCCATGACATTCTAGCCATCCCTTGCTAGCCACGAAGTCGTCTATTTTCGTTATTGCCTTGTAAAAAACTTAGCTTCCGTAGCCAACAAGGGTCCCGAAATGGGCGCATGCCTTCTTCTTTCCTGAAGAAACCACATGTACGAAGCTTCTTCCACATATGGATCTTTAGCTTTCTTGAGTGCCTGACTTTTACATGTCCCACAGTCAGTAGTTGAAACGAAAGTTTTAATCTTCTTCTGGTTCCTTTCTATGTCATAAATTGTATGAGGTCTGTAAATTAAGTGATGGTTTTGGCAACGTAGCGTTCGATCTGGAACACTAGAGGCGCCGGGCTTGGATGGAAGACAGGGAACATGTGAACCTTCTTCAGTACAAGTTTGAACTCACTCGAGTCATTTGGTTGTCCGTAGAGATTTTTTTTGGGAAACAGTTTTTTTCTATTGTGTTCTAAAAATGAGGCATCAATTTCAAGCAACGGTGTTTTATCAGGTTTTGCTTCAGACTTGGGCACAGAGCTACGGAAACTCTTGCTAAACAATCCTACGGAGATAGTGTTTTGTCAAGAACCCAGGTTTTTCGGTGATTTAAGGCATTTTCAGAAGAGAGTCGAATGAAGACGAACCACGAAGCGGAAAGTCTTCATCATCAAGAACCGATGAAAATATTGACAGAATTCGGGATCTTGTGAGTTCATATCGTCGGTTGACAGCCAGAATGATCAGGGTAGATTTAAATTTAACTCACACCACCAGTCATCCGATCAATAACAACTGGGTGTTGCATCCTGATCGTGCTCCTTGTCACACAACAATATCAATAAACGAGTTTTTGACCAGTAAAGACATTTCTGTGGCTCCTCAGCCTGAATTGACACCGTTTTGTGCTTTGGCTTTTGGGCTTGTGATGACATTACTAGTATGTATATGTGACACACAATGAATAAACGAAAAACAACAATGAACGCTCGCTAGGCCGCTATTACATGTATACAGGGTGTTCCTTAATGATATGCGAACATTTAAGGGTGTAAATCTACATGAAAAATTAATGGTAGTTTGCTTTATAAACTATGGTCCAAAAATGTTTCCTTACAAAAACTCTTGGTGTTGAAGTTTTAGGAAAAAAATGGAAATTAATTAATATTTTCAGAACCGCTTCAAGTATTTCACTGATATTTAGCACGTAGTGAAAGTTAATAAAGTTGCATATTTTTCAATGCAAAAATAGTTTTTAGCTTTAACAGTGGCGTGCGTACGGGTATTGACTTCGATATTTTTTATGAAAAAAATGGTACGCCAATGGTTTTTTGCCAAAGAAAAATTATTTTTGAATACCCGTTCTATTTAAAACAAATGATCTCTCTTGAATTGTTTTCCTTCGATGCGCCATTCTTAAGTAAAAAAATAAAAACCGTTCTATTGTCTAACTTGCAAAATTATTATTAATTTAATTGGAAAAATTAAGCACATTAGGGGTAATGAACAACAACAAATGACAACATAAACATAACATTAAAACCAACGAAATGATTACAAAAATTATTGAAAATGACCCCCTTCACTTAGTATGCATGCTTCCACACGTCTTATGGAATTGCGCACTCGTTGAAATATCCCTGGAGTGCTTTTTATTCTATCACAAGCTGCAACTATTCTTTCTCTTAATTCCTCTACAGTGTTAATGGGACTTGTGTACACTAGTGTCTTAAGATAGCCCCACAAAAAAAATCTAAACGGTTGAGGTCTGGGGACCTTGGTGGCCATTCTTGGGGCCCACCGCGGCCAATCCAACGATTTGGATAAACAGTTTGTAAATAATTACGAACCGCTTTACTGAAATGCGCTGGTGCACCATCATGCATGTACCACATATTGTTTCTTATTACTAACGGAACATCATCAAGCAGCAGAGGCAACTGTTGTTGAAGAAAATTGAGGTAAGTCTGTCCGTCAAGAATGGGCCAATAATGTGGTTGCCAATAATTCCTGCCCATACGTTAACCGAAAAATTGGTGTTGGAAATGGGTTTCGGTTACGGCATAGGGATTTTCTTCTGCCCACAAATGAGTATTGTGGAAATTCTGAATGGCATTTCGAGAAAATTAGCTTCGTCCGTGAACAGAATCATTGATTTAAATTGCAGATTTTGTGTAATTTTTTGAAGATACCACTGACAAAAGGTCACACGCCTTGGAAAATCAATGGGAAGTAATGCATGTACTCTTAAAATATGGTAAGGATATAACAAAAAATCCACTAAAATTCTCCAAACAATTTGATGGCAAATAAGTGTTTAGTGATCTTCCTCGTACTCGTTTCAGAGTTTCTTCGACTTCATGCAGTACTGCTTCCTCAATTTCCGATGTTCCTTTTCGGAGAAAACCAGTTTCAACAAGACGACGATGAATATTAGAAAAGGTTCGACTATCTGGCAAAGCACGATCGGGATATCTCTGTTGATAAATCCGTCTGGCTTGCTCACCATTACCGTCGGCAAGGCCATATATTTCCGCCATATCTGTATTTGAATAATTCACCATTATTAACAAGATTGTAAAAACTAAATAATGTAAAAGATGTCACATCGAACAGATTTTAATAACAGAGACTTGTCAGATGACAAAAGCCAGTGACATATTCCAGAGCAACTAGATATCCATTGCTAAATTGCATTCTTCAATTATTACATTAATTTTCTCGGACAATAGAACGGTTTTTATTTTTTTACTCAAAAATGGCGCATCGAAGGAAAACAATTCAAGTGAGATCAATTATTTTAAATTGAACGGGGAATTCAAAAATAATTTTTATTTGGCAAAAAACCATTAGCGTACCATTTTTTCTTAAAAAATATCGAAGTCAATACCCGTACGCACGCCACTGTTAAAGCTAAAAATTATTTTTCATTGAAACATATGCAACTTCATTAACTTTCTCTACATAATCATAATATCAGTGAAATATCTGCCGTTCTGCCGTTCTGAAAATATTAATTAATTTCCATTTTTTTCCTAAAACTTCAACAGCCCGAGTTTTTGTAAGGAAACATTTTTGGACCATAGTTTATAAAGCAAACTAACATTGATTTTTCATGTAGATTCACACCTTTAAATATTCGCATATGATTAAGGAACACCCTCTATACGAAGTGATATATTATAAAATGCAACACCCAGAATTATTTATTAAATTTTTATAAAAACTTAAGACCAATTTGCTATCATGGAAGTGTACGCTGATAAAATATTGAAGGCAATCCGAGCCGTACTTTTTTTGGAAAGGCATTTTTGTCATATCAGGATCCGAACAATAAGAACATGTTTACTTAATATTCAGTGATTTTTCTGTGTTGGTTCCATTTGAAATGCGAAATGCTTTCGCGGCCATCATCCAACGTTATTTGGTTGGTTTTTGGGTAGTTAGACCGTCGTAAAATATTTTTACTTGACGATGCCAACCACTCGTGTTGGCGAAACGTCAAGTAACAATTGGTTCCATTTGTTTGATTGTTGTTTCAACTTTCCGAGTTTGAGAGGGGTAGGATCGTCGGGTTACGTGAAGCCGGATTTTCTTTTAGAGAAATCGCTAATCGGGTGGATCCAAACGAGGCTATTGTAACTGTTGTCGAGCGTTGTTCCAAGGAGGCCGAAATCGACGAGTCACAGGTACTGGACGTCAAAGACAGACTACACAGCGACAGGATCTTTATTTGAGGCAGCTAGCACTTAGAGATCGATTTTCCACAACAAGGGCAGTTGCGAACCAGTGGTTTGAGACTGTCGGAAGGACAGTAACAATGAACGCCGAATAAGGTATTTTAAACTGTCTTTATACCAGCCCTATCTTATACTGCCTCTGACTCCACAGCATCGTTGGCACCGTATACCTGCTGATTAATGCAGTTTATTTTTAAAACTAGGCTGACTACGTAGCTGCAGACGTGGAACACTGGAACCACGATGCAATAGTCGAAGAAGCAATGACAGAGGATTTTGACGTTGAAAGTGAATCTAAAGAAAGTGACCAAGAGGATATAAATCTTAGAGTTTCACACAAGGAGGCAGCTCAAGCTCTAAAAATTGCAATAGAGTGGGCTAAACAAAACACTGTGGGCACCAGTGATATTATAACACTAAGAAACATCCACGAAAGAGCTGTTTTAGCAAATCTTTCTGTAAAAAAAACGCAGTCTAAATTAACTTCCTATATTTCTATTAAAGATTAGCTAAATTTAAATAAAACCTATTACTAATAAATGATTTGAGTTACAAAATTGTCATGCGTTTTATTTTACATATAGAAAACATATAAAATCATGTAACGTACCCATTTTTTCAACCTTCACTAATATGAACAATCTCCGTAATATGAACGCCTCAAGATTTGTTGTATTCACATTAACGCGATCGTACTGTATTATATAAGAATTGATATTTAAAAAAAACAGCTTTGAAAATGAGTAGTAAAGTGTTCTTAAAACTTTTCAAGCATCTCCAAATTGGAATGGTTTTTTATATGACTATTCCAATTGACCTAATAAACAGAAAATAGGATTTGTGGGGAATAAATTTTGCCTTATTGACGACTTCCATTACATTGATAATTTCAAAAACTATGAAAACAGCAAAAACCTTACCTTATATATCCTTCCTTTAGCGATAAATAGCTCTATCAAGGTAGGTGTATGTTCAATGGCGGCGTCAATATAACTTAACGCCTTTTCAGTCTGTTTCAGGTAGTCGTAGTGTTGCGCCAAATAGTAATAGACCCATAACAAAGCACTTACAGGCTCTTTAGGACCATTATTTACTTCCGATTCACTGAATTTGGACCACTGAAATAAATAGACAAATCATTGTACCAACAGTGAAATTATTGTTAATAGGAGTTGAGGTATAAAAATGAAAGTACAATAAAATAAGTGTCAGGCAGTGTTGAAAAATGACAGTGTTCTATCCCTCCGAGGTACAGATATATTCTTTCTCACCTTTTTGAGAGCATCAACATACTTCAACTGCAACTCCTCAATCACTTCTACTTTATTCTTGTCCCCATAAAGACCTCTGAGGTCCACAAATAATGGTGGCACTCCTTTTGTTAAAGCCCGCCTCATGTATTTATCCACCAGATTCCTAAACTTGTCACCAGTTGCATAATTTAGGGGTAACCTAAAATGTTTTAAACTCAATCAATCTTAGTTTTTATTCTTTGAAAAGTGACAGTGGGCTAAAGAATGAAATACAGTCATGTCATATGTTAGATTTACCTTCTAGGTGGATTTGCTCGAGGGAATTTTTCTGAATATTGCAGATAAAATTCTACTATTTCCTCTGATGTTTGTAACTGTTTGGCTTCTATTAATTTCTTGTAGTACATTGTGTTCTCAGGATTTCGCTGAATAAGCTGCTCATAATATTCTGCAGCCTAAAGAAAAACCATAAATATATGATAATAAGGAATGCTCTCATTATAAAAAATAATTAATCCTACAGAATATGAAATTAGCAAATACTATCAAGAGAAAAAATTATTACAATAAAACTAATTGGCATGCAGATCAAAAGTTTTATGGGTAATCACATATCATGCTCTCATTAATACCACAAAAATAATATTGCTGTTTACCTTATCAAACTGTTTTAATTTAAGGTTGAGTTCACCAAGATTCTCTTTCAGTGTCAACTTGTCAACAATCTGATCTTGCGCAGTCTCAAGATGCTTCAAAGCACCTTTAAGATCCCCAGACTCCTGGATAACCATGTTCTGGTATAGCAGCAACTCACTGTGTTCATAGTCAAAGTTGCTAGGTTGCTGTAAGATAACATTTTGATATTAAAATAATTAACAAATAATGATTTTCTGAATCATTACTATAAATTGATGACACTGAATTTAGCATTATAGAAATTTTGGGAACACTTACTTGTGGTTGATCCAAAAAGGTTGCCAATATACTCAAGGCATTTTTGTAGTCCTCCAGCAGATGGAAAGACATGGCATAGCCTATCCAGGAAACCCTTTGTGTTGGTCTAAGCATCAGAAGTTGATACCTTGTATCCTATAAGAAAAGAAATAAAATTACATACCAGGTGTTTCAAATTTGACCCTCAGTGTAAGAGATACAAACTTGCTCAAATTGGGGCAAAGTTGTGTATTTAGGTAACTAAGAAAATGCTGCTTAGGAAGTTTTGAAATCGAAAGTACAGAGACAGAAAAAACTGAATTTGCCCAAAATCATTTCAATTTTTTCCTGACTTTATTTGTAGTGGGATTTTATGGAAAATTGCACATTAACATTACCACTTTATCTCCTCTACAAGATGGCATAATTAGAATTTCAATATGACGTTTCATCTGTTCACCTCCAGCATCAACTTTTATCTTATGGACACCATATTGAACGCAAAGATAGATATTTTGATTCTGATTTTAAAATTTATAATGTCATACATTGAGATTGTCAAACTTTAGTTATTCCTGAAAAACAGAAGTCTCTAGAATTAAATTCAAGCGAATAACCAAATGAAAATAGTAATTACCATTTTGGATTGGTATTTACCAATCCGTTCAAGCGAGTGTGGTTATCAGTTTGGTTATAAGATCCGTGACATCATGAATCAGCTGTTATATGTCATGGTTATCACTGCAAGATTGTAGTATTTACCCAACACAGGAGTAGTTTTATATTTCTGGTTATTATTATATTATAGAATGTTGCCGGGTATTGGATATTTTTGTTGTACTTCTGGTTCATTTTTGGGAAACTTGATACAGGCTGACTTCAGTTGCAGCACGTAAGTAGAGCACCTTATTAGTTATACTCATTACTGTTGTTGGGTCACTCCAAATCTAGTTCCCATGCTTAACAAAGTATCCTGGTAGCTATATACCACAAGAATATTAAAATATGGCCTTAAACACTCACTGGATAATGTCCACCTGTATACAGTTTTGCTAATATCTTTTTTCATCACTTTTTCCTATCATTTCAGCTAAATCAATAAATGTTCTCTTTGACATTCGGAAAAGTTTAGAGACTTGAAACTTATCATACACAAAGAAAGGTTCCATCAATAAAAATTATTTTCTGAAATAAATTTTCCTCCCATTAATATTATGAAACGTTTCTTTTCTAAATGTTCCATAGACGAAAAAGCACCAATTATTAAGTGATAATAAAATAAACAACTTGCAGCAAAACCGCGGTTAAAACCAACGCGTTCAAGCGATTCGAGTAACTGACGTCATCAACCTGTGTGTCATCTTAAACCATATTATAACTGCAGTACATAACACAAAAATTTTGGTTATTTGCTTGGATTTGATTTAGGTAGGCCTTGAAATTATCGAATATCAGTCATTTGTTTCATATACCAGACCAGACCTCAAATTGAACAGAGTTTGGAAGAGAGATCTGATAATTTCAAGGCCTACTTAGGAAATTATTCTTTTTTAAAATAACTAAGGTTTTGCAATGTCAGTGTATGACATATCAAACCTTTTTGAGAATCAGAATTAAAAACTTTATTCATCTGTGTCCAATATGACATCCACAATGAAAAATAAAATTAATGCTGGAGGACAAGAGACGAAATGTTAAATTGAAATTCAGTTCAAATTTGAAACACCCTGTACAAAATAAAAACAAATACAGTGTACTCTAAGCTTTGAAAGATTAAGCCAGAGTTTACTAATATAGATCACATGTAAACAACTCATACAAAAGGGAAATGTAGCATCTAATACCAATCCTTTAGTTCCCTGACTGAAAAATCTCTACGTTTTGCTTGCCACCTAATGAAACCACAGATGTTAGATTGGAAGTTTACTAAAGCTGTACTTTGAAAAAGGTCACTGAAGTGGCTGAAATGACTGAAACCCATAGTTTTATTTGGGAGCCAGCAAAACATGGAGATTTATATAAAAGGAGGTCAATAAAACCCAGCAAATTATCAAGGAATCCCTCAAATTTTTTGATTCTCACACTATTTGAGACTATTAGAATGAAAATTTGAATCAACATCAGTATCTTTAATTTCTAGTATTAGTTGTGAGGTGACAGAGGCTCTTTTCCAGTTATAGTAAATATTTAAAAGATTACTAAAATATGCTACCTCAATTACTATCCTAGTAAATCAGAATCGTATATACAATTTCTGATGTTCAAAAAGCTCATCTAAAATCATAGTGATCCCTTACTGGAAAAATTAGAAAATGCTACAAAATTAACTATTCCAAAAAAACAGAAAATAAATAGAATCAGTATCACATGTAACACTAAATGCAACAAGCCTATGCTAAGTTTTAAGTTGCTGAATTACAACAACTCTTACTAAATGCATGACATCAAGTTAATTTTACAGCCTATGTTATCACAGTCAAAATATATGTTAAATAAGGAAAAAGGTTGATATTACATACAAGGTGATAAAAGATAACTAAATAGAGGTATTATTTTTGCTTAAAATAGTTCAACATAATGAAATAAGGATTTATTGCATTTCTTTTTCTAGTAGCATCATGTTCAAGTATTCTTGTCTTTAAAGTTTACTCACCCTATAACCTTCCAAATCACGCATTTGTATCTGCAGTAAGGAGAGGTCCCGAAGAATTTGTAAATTGTCCTTTTCCCATTTAAGGGCATTCCTATAACACTTGATAGCCTCATCATACTTTTTATCCGACCTCTGCAGTAATCCATATACATGCCAACAAACATGAGACTTAAGATCATTCCTAAGACCCCTTCTGACATATTCATAAGCTTCTTCTTTTCTTCCTAGGCAATTCAGGGTCAAGCCCTTCATAGCCAAGGTTTCTACAATGTAATGGAGTTAAAGCATAAGCCTTCAATTATGTATAGTTCCAACAAACCTCCATGCTCCGAAAATTTTGGATTTGTCAAGATTTGCTTGGCAAATTTCAACCCATTTTTGTATAATTTGTGTTCGTAACATTTCTGAAATACAGAAAAACGTCAGTATGTCCATATGTAATGAGGAAATGGAATCATAAGGGCTGTATTGTTACATAAATATAGAAGGATATATGAAATCCTTCAAAGCACCGTTTCGTGTGGCCCTAGGGGCAGCATAGCCGTAGAGCCTGTGTAACGTTGACCAGAGGTTATTTCTACTGGCTAGAAAGGGGCACAGTCCAAAATAACACTATAATAACTGAAAATCACTGGAACTGCGGCGACAGTCAACATACAGGAGAGATACTAACCAAGATTCTTTTAAAAAGTGCATTTTCTTTGGGTGGTAGCGGATTGCTGGAGGGCATTTTCGATCGGAAATCTTGCCGGCCGACAGTCCCTCAATATCAAATAAATAATTTTCGAGGATCAAAACCTCGTGGCCACAAACTTCCCAATGTCGATCGTGATCACGTGACCACCAAACCGAAACTGACAGTTATGGCAGCTATGACAGAACATTACACTGTTGTCTGCCTAGCACAAACGCAAATGAGCCATACCCCTGCTTTTCATTTTGAAAAATTATGATATACATATTACACACGTTTTTTTCTCGGTCATTAGGTGCAACTGCCCATATCAGAACATTAATCTCTACTGACCTGTTTATTTTTGGTCCCTCTGCTTGTTAGCCACATGCATGTTAGCAAAGCTTTTACCTTGCAAATTGGAATCGTTTGTCCAACCTCTATTATCTGTAATAAAGTATTAAAGTAATATTTATTATATCATAAATAATGATAGTTATTTTGGATATCAAGATATCGTACTTTTATTTGTTTAGCACCAGTCTATCACTTGGAATTTTTTATCATCAGTTGGTAATGGCATAGGTATTGGTGCATACGGTCTGTGGTCCATTCTGTCAGAAATGTGCTACTTTTAGGAAAAACCTTTTTTGCAAAGTATACGTTCGCATTTAGCATTAAGCATCATTTATTTTGATTGAACTGTACCATCGTGGTACGTCAATCTCTGAACCTTCAAGAAGTATTACATAAGCTGGCAGCGATGAATGTGTCAAATACATTTTGACGTTAACTTTTTTGACAGCACAATTTTGTATACTCATGTTTGCTTGGAGTTCTTGCTAATTTTGCTTTGTCGAGGACTTTATTAGTGAAAAACCAAAATGAGTCTCGCCGAAATATGCGGATTACAAGATTTCGACACGTTCAAATCCAGAAACGTGTACAAAAATGATCTGGATAGCTTCTGCACCAATTTCAACCATAATATGCAGCTAGGTGTACCTCCTTTTTCAAACGTAAGTAATCCCTTTTCGACTTGAAAATAATATAGAATATGAATGAAATAACATTTCTAGCCTGCTGAAAATCTATCACGGTTCACAAAAGACGAAATGGGCAGGGAAATCAAGATCAAGTTTGATCATGGCACCACTACTTTAGGCTTCAAGTATCAAGGGGGCATTGTCTTAGCAGTAGATTCTAGGGCAACTGGAGGACAATTTATTGGATCTCAAACTATGAAGAAGATCGTAGAAATCAATAAATATCTTCTAGGTAACATAGTCAATCTTTTGAGTATAGCATTTGTCATTAGTGAAACTTGATCATTACACTTTTGATCTTTCATTCCACTCATAGGCGCCCACAGGAATTTTTCTCAGGAGAGACTAGTCATTGGCAAGAGACTGCTTGTTGTGAAAGTGTACCTGTCTCCATAAAATTTTTTAAGAGCTGTCTTTGTCAGATTTTCTTAGAGCAGCCAAATGCAAATTATAAGGTCCAACTGATTCTCGGCACAATTCTACTTATCCATGCTGACAGTGGATAAGCAAAGCAGCCTCTTACGCATGACCTTGTATTTGAAAGAGCTACACACAAATCAAAAGATAGATCTAATAGGTCTTGGGAACAGGTACTGAAAAAAAAGGACCTTCCTGATCTGACTTTTCCCACATCTACATTATTCTCCACTACTCTGCTGTATTTTGGACAATGGTTAATATTTTGTTTTAGAGAGCCTTTGCATCAACTTGAGAAACATTCAGAAATAATGCTTTAAATTTTATTCACAACGTACAAGATACATTATGGTGATACATATATAATTTCTGCAAATAATTGTCTTTTTATTTCACACTCTGATCCATTCCATAGCAGGGGGGGTATATCAAAAAAAGCAGAAAAATGTTTGTAATAATGAGATATTCATCAACATCTGAGTGTAGGTTTCCAATTCTGAGGAACTGCAGCATCTAAGAGACATCTTTCTATAATTTTTATTCCCCATATTGTTTTTTATCCAGAAATAAAGTTGATTTGACTTTTTTGTTATTCTTGTATAACTGGCTGGTAGTGAAGCCTGGCTTATAATTATTTATTTTAGGTACTTTGGCTGGTGGAGCAGCTGATTGTGTATATTGGGATAGAGTCCTGGCAAAACAATGCAGAATGTATGAATTGAGAAATAGAGAGCGTATCTCTGTGGCTGCAGCATCAAAGCTGATGACAAATATGATCTATAATTACAAAGGCATGGGTTTGTCTATTGGTATGATGATTGCTGGATGGGACAAAAGGGTGAGGCACTTGTTACATTTCAAAAGCTCACTTAATATAAAGTTTTTGGAATATTTTCTAATGTTTATGTGAAAATGCCATATTTATACAGGGTGTAAACGTTTTAGAGAAAAGCAGCTTAAAGTAAAATAAATCTGACAATGCTGCAAAACTATGCAAAGGATAACTAACCACTGTTACTGTTTGCGATCTATTGCTGGTTCAATAAGACTGATGATGACTGACATGCTGTTGTCAAGTGTGTTTTAAATATTCAATTTAATGAAACTTACTTTCTTACTGACTACAAATTTTAATTAACTTAGAAAAACTTAATGCCATTTATTTGTTAATTAACCAATTTAAAAACGTTTTAGATGAGATTATAAAAATTAGTAAGATTGTGGTCGATATAAAACACTTATAATAATAATAATCCGGCTTGATTTATACAAAGTATACAAAGGCGAAGTGTCGCTAAAAAGCGTTTTTCAACTTAACCAAAGTTGTAAACTATAAAACCATTTAGACAAAAATCTATTGACTTTTGGACCATGGGTCATATGAACTTTTTGACTTGTTTTGACCCCCCTATTGCCCATTTTAATAATGACTACCATAATGTTTACACCCTGTATATTTTATTCATCTCACTTTTACTCACATATTATTGAAAATATTCACTTTTCTCGCTATTTTCACTCACGCTGTACATATTGTAGTTTATGGAAGGTTTTGAAGAAGCTGTCTTCCTCTCAAGCGAGACAAAATTAAATGATTGTAATTTTTTTTATAAAAATTAACTATGACAAAGTTGCTCATCTACAGGGTTCTCCCTAAGGTGATCCAATATGTATTACATGAGAAATTACTATGATTAGTTGAAATCTACATTGAATTTAACACAACTTTGCTAAAAGCACTCTATATGCACTGGGTATTTCAAATTTGGAAATGTTAAGCAAAGTAGTTTATGGAGGCAAAGTTGCACATTTTGGTAACTGATAAAATGTTACTTAGATAGTTTGGTTATTCAGAGTATTTTTTTAAAGAGGGAGAGAGCGACAGAAAATACGGATTTACCCTGAACCATTTTCATCTTCTCCTGGTTTAATTTGAGCTGCGATTTAAATATAAATTGCTTTGTGCAAGTATCTGTTAGTATATTAGTTTGTTAGTATGCATGTGTGGGATGTTTTAATGACAATCTCAATTTTTTAACACACCTTATAAATATCTCATTTTGCTGCCAAGAGTTGCCAAGTAGGCTGAAACTTGGTCAAGCTATACCAATTCTAAAAAGGAGGAACGAGCTTGACATTGCAAACTACAGTGTGCCGTCTGTACTTTCTAAATTGCTTGAATTTTTTTTCTACTCCAAGTACCACGAAGGCCTAAGGCCTATACACCCATAGGGTACTGTGGGGCTATAGGGAGAAAGGGAGAACGCCACATGGACTCTGGCGAGGGAACACGTGTGCATGCAGCATGCACACATTCTGGCCCCGCCTGCGAGATCCGCCGGATGGTACCTCCGCGTTTGCCTTTTTAGATAGACTTCTTTTACATCTTAAAAACAACATTTTATCTCAAAACCAGCATGGTTTCACAGATAGTAAGACCACAATGTCAGCGGTACATTCCTGTTATGAGAAGCTTATAGATATCGACGCGGGCGAGTGCCTTACTGGGGTATTTCGTGATCTCAGTTGACTGCGTTGATCACAACAAATTCTTGGTAAATATGGTTTCGTCGGTCAGTCTCTTAAATGGGCCAGATAGTATTTAGTCCAAAGAAAACAATATGTTTCAGTACAATATCTTGATGCAGAGAACAATATGAAAAACCTTGTGTCAGGTACTAGATTGGAGTCCCCCAGTGCTCTATTCTTGGGACAATGTATTTTCTCTTATACTCATACATATATTTATCAATTTGATAATATTCATCCTGATACTCATTTTACAGCATATGCTAATGACGTTTCTGCCACAATATCAAGTAATTCAAATAAGATTTTGGTACATAAATGTAACAACTTAATTAGGAAAATCAATATGTGGTTTAACCAGTACTCACTGTACTTGAATCCTTCCAAAACAATACTTATTCATTTTCATCATGCTCAAAAGACTGTAGAAGAGTTTCAAGTTAGGTTTTAGAGGAGAAGGGAAATTTCTTGGAGTTCATTTTTATTCAAACTTAAATTGAAAATTGAAAGGCCCACTGCGAATTTCTCACATCAAAGATGTTCCCTCAAAGCTAAGTGTTGAGGCAATTAAAAACCATTTTGCTAATGTAGATTCAAGATTAAGATATGGATTATGTTTCTGGGGTTGGTCAACGCGCTCTGAAGATGTATTTGTGTCTCAAAAAAGATGCATCCGACCATTGGCAGGGATATCACCAACAGAAAGTTGCAAAAAATATTTTATAGATTTCATCATTCTAACTGTCCCTTCGTTGTATTTATATATATATATATATATATGAGTTGTGCTTAATTGTTATAATAAAATAAAACTTGCTGATGTTCATGGTAAACAATTAGATGATAACAAATGTGATTATTTTCAGGGTCCTCAATTATACTATGTCGACTCTGAAGGCTTAAGAACACCTGGAAATGTTTTCAGTGTGGGTTCAGGCTCCATCTATGCTTTTGGTGTGTTGGATTCTGGCTACAGATGGGACTTGACAGATGAAGAGGCCTATAACCTAGGTCGCAGGGCTATTTACCATGCTACACATAGAGATGCCTACTCTGGGGGTATTGTAAGAGTATACCACATGAAGGAGACTGGATGGGAACATATTGATAACAACGACTGTAATGATTTGCATTATAAGTATCAGGAGGAGAAGAAAGTTAGAGAAGAACAAGGGGATGCCTAAATTGGTTTCAGTGTTGGTTTTTTGATTTGTGTATTATTTCTATTTGAATAAACATATAATTTAACTTTTACGGATTATTTGTTATGTAGATACTTGTCCTAAGACAAATTGTATACATAGTCTTTATTAGATTACCTACACGTTCTTACCTAGGCAAATATCTGATCTGCATGATATCTCCTGTGTAATTCTGAATCCGACGTGAATTCAGTATTATAATCCACGGAAAGTCCCAGGCAATCAGTTGTCTACTTAAAATTGGGCTCCATGACACACAATTTTGTGAACTGAACTACCTCCCACCCCTTGAAAAAGTTTTACTTACAGCTCTTCTTAAGATTTATTGGGCTGATACATTTTTCACAGAGTTACTTTTTGCCGATGGCTGGTCTCCTCGGAAAAATTCCTGCGGGCACCCATGTGTGTTGCAGATGTTCGAATTTAGCGTTCCAAATTATGTGTACCAAGTTTTAATTGCGTGTAACAACCGAGGCGAAAATTAAAACTTTGCTTTGTAAAATCCTATATTTTAATGTTTACTAAAAACATCCGCTTTGGTGATGGGCCAATCAAGATCGACCAGCCGCCCCTCCCCTCCGGGCAAAGAAGTCGCTCTCGGAAGCACTGACGCTGCCGAGCCGACACTCCCCTGCTTCGCTCATCAATTTTGAATCGCAGCAATAGCTAGCTTCGCATTAGATGGTAAGAATATGAAAAGTCCTGTATAATATTTTGAGGCTTACAACGAGAAAAGTATTGAAAATCCGCAGCAGACTCATTCCCCAAGGGAAATTCATTTCAAAATGATAACACTTGTAAATACAGGGTGACCGACGGGAACCTGACGTTTTTGAGATGGCTAGTACTCTGCCGGTAAGAGGAGTAGGGAGCCGAATTACAAGTCATTAATCTGGCCATGGCCATTCGATGCCTTTCCAGTAGCTATGGAACAGTGGGCAGTTGAGCATCGCATGTTTGCGCATGACGCATTTGTGCAGAATTTATTACCGTTCAGCGACTTTTTCGTGTGCGTTTCAATCGTGGGCATTGTGGAACCGTTCCAAGCCGCAACACGATTCTCAGGTGGGTTCATAATCTACGGACAACAGGATCTATTCTGAAAAAGAAGCCACCAGGTCCGACTAAGACAGCAAGATCGAACGTGTGAGAGCCGCTCAGACTCGTAGCCCTAGGCGCTCTGCACGTAAACACGCGTGCGAACTAAGAATGAGCCGTGAATCTGTGCGAACAATTATGCAGAAATACTTAAAGTTTCATCCTTACAAGCTGTGTGTCGCTCAGAAGCTTGAAGAACGAGATTATGCGCAGCGGCAAGAGTTTGCTTGTCGAATGCAAGCGCTTTTGGAAGACAATGAGAATGCTGTCATTATCATGAGTGACGAGGCGCATTTTCATTTGGATCGGGATGTTAATAGACAAAATTTACGGTACTGGTCCTCTTGAGAATCCCCGTATCGTGCACGAAAAGCCTCTACATTCAGAGCGTGTAACAGTTTGGTGCGCAACTACACCATTCGGCATCATTGGTCCTTATTTTTTCGAGGTTGAGAATTGTTCAAATGTTACAGTGAACGCCGAACGTAACTGCCACATGCTAAACACTTTCTCGCGTCTCAAACTGCGCAGGCTTCAACTGGATTTGGAAAATATTTATTTCCAACAGGATGGTGCCACCGAAAAACACTGCTGGTGTGTCCATGCAAGTGCTGCAAAGCATCTTCCCAGAAAGAATAATTTCTCGTTTTGGGACTTCCCGTCGCCCACGAGATTACCTGACTTGAACACTTGTGACTTTTTTCTGTGGGGGTATCTCAAATCACGTGTATACACTTACAGACTCCGCACATTGTGTGGCTGCAATTGATGGTGAACTGATGACGCGTGTGATGGGCAATTTTATGGGAAGGCTGGAACAGTGCATTCAGGAGGATGGACACCACTTACCTGACGTAATTTTCCACAAGTGATACTTATCTTCAAATGGCATGTCATGACAAACGATTTTGTGTATTAAAATAAAATATTCCGTGAAAATTAACTGTGTACTGTTCATTTCAAAAACGTCAGGTTCCCGTCGGTCACCCTGTATAAACCATAAAATGTTTTGTTATCTTTATTAGGTAATAATAAATTAAAAAATAAATTACAACAAATATCGAACATCGTCTCTTAAACGTCGGACGAACTAGAATATTATTCGCAGCACCATACATATAAAACATCGAAAATTGTGGATAAGAATATAAGCACATTTGGTAGCATCTGTATCTGAACAATACAAATAGCCAATTAAAAATCTACAGCTCATCGCTGAATATTCTTCTGATTCTGCCGATCCTTTTTATTTCATTGCTAGACGTATTCTGGATCTCCTCGCAGATAAAATTGTAACGAACCTACAAAACAATACAAAGCTGAGCATGATAATTTCAGAAAGAATGTGATGACTTTTCTTCTATTAGGCCTATTTCCAGCAGAATGCCTGTATGCACTTACCGAGCAATCGGACCCTTTGTAAGCATACGACCGTAAAGTAGGATTAAAAGCAAGCCTTAAGCATCGTCCTTCGCCTTGGATGGCTGCCGAAGGGTTGTCTTTGTTTTTTTGAGATCCCGGTGCTGCTACAGGTCTAGCACTGTTACTCCAGATCCACAGCAAGCCAGGATTCAGGCCACCTACCCAGTAGTCTTTGCCTATTGAGAAAAAAATGTGTAAAGTACCATGTATTTGTATCGTGAAGCTCTACATCTCATACCCCTGCACCGGTTTTGAGCCAGGTTTTGGGAGCAGTATACAATAAGCTAGTTCTACTTCATTGGCGGAGGAGTGATGAGCAAAAAACGCATCGACATAAAACCGCTTACACACTTTATTTTCGCATGTTTCTCAGTTTCTGACACTTTTGGCCATAATAAAAGTGTATATAACAGGAGATTTTCAAAAACTCTAACTACGATGCACATTCAGGATGCACAACAAATTAGACATGCTACTTTTTTTGGTAAATGGCAAGTAGATGTGCTGCATAGCTAGAATCGTCGCCATCTAGCGGTGGTGAGTGGGCCTCCAATTTGCGGACTGAGATCTATACAGTCCCAAGCGGTAGCTGCTATTCATTGTTCGTAGTGGTAGATGGCGCTTCGCGCTTTCTTATTTCGATAGATCTAACCTTTCTGGCGGTCTACCTATATGTTTGCGTTCGTTGTCCGTGGGACCAAGCTTAGACCATGCTGATGAGTAGATATGGCGGACGAAAGCAGAAAATGCTTAGTTTAAACGACATAATTATGTTTAAATTATCTATTAGATGACTTACAAAAGTTAAAATATGCTTTGAAAAAATACCATTAGGTCATGTGAAACCCAATCTGTACGCGTATCTGATTTTATATACACGGTGTGCCAACGAAAAGTACAAGTAAATCACCGTCCATATTCTTCGAAATATATATATGTATATATATTATAATAAGTTCTCCATTAGCATGAATTAAAACATTGTATAATATCTATCTACAAGTATACACGGTGTCCCAACAAAATTTGAAAGCAGTTTTATGAGCAAACTGGAAAAGATATTAAAAATCTGTTTTCGTGACAACCTCTTGATATGTTACTAATGCACATTAAAATTATTTTAATATATACAGGCTGTTCCATAACTTCGCTTTAATAAACATACATTTTTTTTAAATAGAACACCTTATATTTTATTGCATATTTGAATAGGGCTTCTAAAAACAAAAAGTCTGATATCATATAACATGTGGTTTTGATTGTCAAGTGTTCATATTTGGTCAAACGTCTGAAAAACTGCCCAGATTTGAAGGCTCCGACATTTTTTGAAGATAGTTAGATAAATCTTAGTTCACAAAAATTTTATTAACATCGATTTTAAGTTGATCTGGAAAAAGTGCTGAAATTTCTTTCGATTTATACATAACACATCGTTAAAAAAGTTTTCTGATGAACTTCTTTTAATATAAGGTTTATAATTTTTTTTCCAAACGCTATTGCTACTAATTTCAAGAGAGAACAGATACATCTAGTTTTTAAACATGAAATCAAATAAATCAAATCTTTTATCAAAGCAATAGATGTTATTAACACAACAAAAATAATCTGAACCTAAGGCAATCAATAGTTAATAAATTGTTCGAATTTATTACCTTGGTGCGAAGCACACAAAGCCAGATGCTAGTTGAAATTATCTTGCACATCTAAAAGGGTTTGTCTAAGTATCCGCTTAAACGTCTCGCTTATATATAAGGTTTCATATCCTCGGCTGTTGTAGGTTTCTTCTCACAAACATCCCCTTTTACATCGCCCAGAGAGAGAAGTCGATAGGCGTCAGATCGGAAGATCTCGCTGACCAATTGATCGGTCCACCTCTCCCTATCCAACTATTAGGGCGCCAGCAGTCTATAGATTCCCGTATCGCTCGATGGTAATGTGATGAGACACCGGTGTTTTGGTAGCACACATTTCTCCTAGTTGTTAAATATAAATTCTCTAGTAAAAGAGGTATATCGTTCCTTAAAACGTTGTACATTTCACCTTATAGTGCTCCTTGTGTGGTCCAATAATTTGTTCACCAACTGTGTATTTAGTGACCATACATTTTGATTGTTCACTTGTCGTACCCAATGCGGCTTTTCTGGAACTTAATAATGCATATTGTGGTAATTCACGAGATGTTGCCTCGTCGCTGAATAGTATATGGAAGGAAGGTCGTGTCATTCTCAATTTTATGAGACATCAAATAGCAAAATGTGACTCGATTGTTGAAATTGTTGTTATATGATATCAAACTTCTTGTTCTTAGCAGCTCTATCTAAAATATGGGTATTCTATTAAAAAATACATGTTATGGAACATCCTGTATATGTTAAAATAATTTTCCAATATGCAATAGTAACATATCAAAGTTACCATGAAAACAGATTTTTGATATCTTTTCCGTTTTGCTCATAAAAACTACTTTCCATTTTTGTTGGGACACCCTGTATACTTGTAGATATACATTGTATGATGCGTTAATTAATGATAATGGAGAACTTATTATAATATATATATATATATATATATATATATATATATATTTCGAAGAATATGGACGGTGATTTACTTCTTGACTCTTGAAAAAATGTCACCACATATATTTGTTAGTAATTGAACATTAAATATGTACTTCACCATGATCTGAGATTAAATCAAGTACTTTATCTTCCGCCTATCGTTATGAGATTTTATATAGTATAGTGTGGTTATATAGATCATCTCGAAAAATCCAATCGACACCGAAATATTTACAGATAAATATTTACTTTCACCAAATCGCAGGTTCACCAAGCTATGAGCCAAATATTTTTGAAACTAGACATAGATATCGGTAAGTTCTGTTGCTTATTCATTACCAACGAAGCGGCGTTTTGAGATTGTCTAAAAGAATCCGTCACTTGAAAATGGAGATTCAAAACACTTGCACCTAGTTTATGTATTTCTATTGCATAATATCTCTCTTGGATATAGACGAAAACAAGATTAGAGGTTTTCCAAATTTTACTGCGCTATACATTTATTTATTATCTATGATGGAATCGCACGAATAAACATTGCAGTGTTATTTATCCTTACATACATATATCCACAGTATTTTTAAGTAACGTTGTATTGTGGTCTTAGATGACGATATATTTTGAAAAATAGTGCTACATAGATTCAGTTACAGTGCAAAGTATTGGAAAAGTATCGCTTATTATCCCTTGAGATGATATGACTGCGTAGCGGTAGTGTCACGTAGTGATCTATAGCCAGTGGCGTATCAGTGACAGTATGAGATTCAACTAAGCCTCAGAATGTTATTATTGCAAGAACTGAAGTTAAAATAGTATCGAGTTGTTTTATGATAAGATGCCCCAGTTATCCAGTCTGTCCGAGAACTCCGTCATCGCACCAATAGTACGCCTCGACTCGATAGTAGTTCAAGATGAGTCAGGTCAGGTCAATCCAGTGGATATAGACGACTTAGATGATGGACATCTTGGTGGTTCTGCTCCGTTGGTTGTTTTAGATAATTCTGCCGTTAACATCGAGAACTCCTCGGACGTAGTTATTGGTCCGGTGACCAATTTTAATGTTAACGGAAACGTCACTATCCTTCAAGAATATAAGCAGGGAAAGTTGATTGATGAACAAAATCAGACGGAGAGTGGTAAGTACGAGGTGTCCAGGAATAAATTTCCCTTTTTAAACTTGGCAACAGTGTAACTTAGCGCGGTCGGCGTAGCGTCCTTCGATAGTAGATCGATGACACCGAATCGATACGGATTTTTTAGTAAAAATGGAGCGTTGGCCCGGTGCGCATTCATTATTGAGACTTATTTCAAGAACAATGACTCCTACACAATTGCAAGACAAAGGTTTTGTGCTCATTTCAATATTAGGCGTGTAGAGGACGCACCAAGTAAAATTTAGTGAAATCGTGGGTGAAGAGATTTAGAGAAACATCGTCAGCTTAAAATGTGAAACGCCCTGGTCGTCCGATGACTGTAACTACTCCTAACTCCTGAGAATGTTGAAGCTGTACGCGCCGCTATAATTCAAAATCCAAGTGGATCCGTTCGTAAAACATCACATGTGGTGGGATGGCGTAAATCATCTTATCATACAGTTTTAAGGAGAGATTTAATGCTTCATCCCTACAAGATCCAAATAGTGCAAAAACTAAACCCAAAAGGTTATATAAACCGTCGTTCGTTCGCCGAAACAATGACAAACTTTTTTTTACAAACGACCGAATTAACAACATTATGTTCAGTGACGAGGCGCAGTGACATGACAATTTTTGGGTGTATCTTATGTATTTTAAGGCGCTTAAATCAAATCACCCACATATATTCGGTAACATCTACTTTTATGAATTACAATACGTAACATCTCATATTGCTGCATTTCTCGGCGTTTATGCGATGACGCACATATATAATGTTAAGACCTGTCTATTCCTGTTTACCTTGTGCGAGCTCTATGTTTAGAGAGCATATTGCGTTTATTAGTAGACTAATAGCAGCCGAGTAAGTTACGTTTTCTGTGTTGAAGAGTACTGGGATGTTCTGGGTACTGTTAATTTTTGTTAAAACGGTGTGTTGTTTTTAATTTATTGTGATCGAGACTAGCTTTATGGACAATGCCTAGAAATTGTGTAAATAGTTCGAATAGTTTTTGTTATGTGTGCGGAGAGCTATCTTTTAAATCCCAAAAACGTACTTTTACTCCGCTTGTGTTGAAAGCATAGGAACTTTATTTTGGAATTAAACGTTGTTAACAGGTTGGTTAAGAGGCGACAATCGTAAAATGCCCTTTGCGGTACCAATGGTTTGGAGAGAACCGAGATACCATACTACTGATTGCTATTTTGTCTCATAAATATTAAATGTATCGGACCAAAATCGAAACAAACTGTTAAGTATTTTTATTTACCATCAGCCTTGCGGCCCGTTAAGCATAGTGATGAACTTTATGTCCCAATTCCACCAGAATATTGGTCTTTGGATGAAAAAGTCGAATCCACCGATTCTGATAGTGATGGTACAGAAAGCGTAAAATTTCCGATCCTTCGTTTGACCTGCCAGGATGTTCAACAGCGCCGCATTTAATCAGACAGGGCTAACTTAATGACTTAGTTCGAGAATTAAATCTGTCAAAATCCCAGTCAGAACGTTTAGCGTCAAGATTAAAAGGATGGAATCTTCTCCACGGTGATGTTAATATTACTTTTTACCCAAAACGGCAACAAGACCTCATACACTGTTTCCGTCAAGAAAGGGAGTTGATATATTGCTCCGATGTCAACAATTTGTTTGACGCGTTAGGAGAGAAACATGATCCAAATGATTGGCGCCTGTTCATTGATTCCTCTAAGCTTAGTTTAAAAGCGGTATTGGTACACAATGGTAATAAATATCCTATAGCGCACGCAGTTCATATGAAGAAATCATATGAAAATATGCGAGTTCTGTTAGAGCATATCCATTATAATGAATATGGATGGGTCATATGTGCAGATTTAAAGGTAATAGCTCTTCTTCTTGGAATGCAACTGGGATATACCAAATATTGCTGTTTACTTTGTGAATGGGACAGTCGTGCGCGAGATCGTCATTATGAACAGAAGGAGTGGCCACTACGTCAGATATAACTCCGGACCTCAAAAACATTGCTCACTAGTTGATCCCAAAAATGTGTTGCTTCCACCTTTGCATCTTAAGTTGGGACTGATGAAAAATTTTGTAAAAGCTATGCATCGAAATGGAAGAGGGTTTCTGCATTTAAAACAAACATTTCCGAGACTTAGTGAGGCAAAAATTAAAGAGGACAGATTCGTGGGTCCACAAATAAGGAAAATCATAAAGGATGATGTATTTGACAGTGCTCTAAATGAAACTGAATTACGAGCTTGGAATGCTTTTAAATCAGTTACTGCAAATTTTTTAGGAAATGTGAAGGCGGACAATTATAAAGATATTGTGAGTAAGCTAATTAATGCTTATTAAGGAATGGGATGTAACATTTCTCTAAAAATTCACTTTTTGGATTCTCATCTCAATTTTTTTTCCGGATAATTTAGGTGCGGTAAGTGATGGTTCCACCAAGACATTTTGGCTATGGAAAAACGGTATCAAGGCAAATGGAGTGTCAATTTGCTTGCTGATTATTGCTGGACATTGTTAAAAGATACTTCAGGAGCAACACATCGCCGTAAAACATCGACAACAACATTCTGAGATTAATGTTTATTCGAGTGTTTATTAGTACTCTTACACACATATCCTTATAATTTATCAGTAACATATAAACAGCAAATAAAATGCCTTATTGCAAGAAAACCGTGGGTGATAGAAAAAATCGAATGCTATTTGCGGCTTTTTGGGTACGTTGTTTTGTCCATGTCACAAAAAATTATTTTAATTTTGTTCACCAGTGTTATCGGTCCGATCTTTTTTGAGAACCAACAAGGCATAGCCCAGACTGTAACTACTGCTCGTTATTGTGCAAAGCTTCGGGAGTTTTTGGTACCTCAGCCTCAAGAATTTGATGGCTTTGATCAAGAAGATGGCGCTACCGCATATACAGCCCGAACATCTATGGAAGTCGTTCGAGAATTATTAACGGAAAAGGTCATCTCTCGCTTTGGAGACCCATACTGGCTAGCTAGGTCTCTAGATCTCACCCCATTGGGCTTTTTTGTGGGAATACCTCAAAATTAAAGTTTATGTTAATCGGCCTAGGACTTTGCAAGAATTGAAACAAAAAATACGGGAAGAAATTAGAGCAATTACATCCAAATTATGTTTAGCAGTTTTTAACCACATGAATATGGCATTGCAGAGTGTTTCGACCGAAATGGACAATATAATTTTTAAAACACGAAATCCGCCTATATTGTGTATATTTTTGCTTCAGTAAATTAATTTAAAACTTAAAGATAATTTTTTATTAGCCTTTAAAAGTTAAATTTATTTCTGGACACCCACTATAATTTGCCTCCTACCGAAAAGGTTTTTTTTATATTCCAACTACCACGAAGGCCTAAGGCCTAAGCACCCATTGATCGGGAGTTTTTGGTACCTCAGCCTCAAGAATTTGATGGCTTTGATCAAGAAGATGGCGCTACCGCATATACAGCCCGAGCATCTATGGAAGTCGTTCGAGAATTATTAACGGAAAAGGGCATCTCTCGCTTTGCAGACCTATAGTGGCTAAATAGGTCTCCAGATCTCACCCCATTGAGCTTTTTTTGTGGGAATACCTCAAAATTAAAGCTTATGTTAATCGGCCTAGGACTTTGCAAGGATTGAAACAAAAAATACGTGAAGAAATTAGAGCAATTACACCCGAATTATGTTTAGCAGTTTTTAACCGCATGAATATGGCATTGCAGAGTGTTTCGACCGAAATGGACAATACAATAACACGAAATCCGCCTATATTATGTGTATTTTTGCTTCAGTAAATTAATTTAAAACCTCAAGACAATTTTTATTAGCCTTTAAAAAGGGAAATTTATTTCTGGACACCCACTATAATTTGCCTCCTACCGAAAAGGTTTTCTTTATATTCCAACTACCACGAAGGCCTAAGGCCTAAGCACCCATTGGGTACCGTGGGCTATAGGGGGATACATGGGAAAGGGGGGGGGAAGCCACACGCATGCAACATGCACACATTCTGGCTCCGCCTACGAGGTCAGAGTCAGAATCAGAGACCGTCTACCACCTACGGACAATCACAACATCCATAGCCAAGAGAAAAATTTCTCCTGGGACGGGACTCGAACCCGCACAGCGCACGACGACTGATCACGAGACCGAAGAGTCTACTACTGCGGCCACCGCTGCTGCCTCCTTTTACCCGCGGTTAAAACTTTCATTCTGAGAAATGAATGATTTCTATGCTAACGAACAGGAATAAAGTATTTTTTTTTGAAAAACATTCTTTTATAACAGACATAGGTTGAACCGAAAACAACCCGTAAAATACATGAAATATACAGGGTACGTCAGAAAAAACGCATGTTTTTCGAATAGGTACTATATCGAGTGGGCTGGTCCCGTGTCGGTGAGGAATAGCGTGTTGGATATTGGGAGAAGTGCCGTTTCAGCTGGAAAAATGGTTTGGAATGTTGAGCATCGTGTGTTCACTGTACGTCGGTACTTTCAAAATTGCGAGTCTGTCGTTCGAACGCAACGTGAGTTTCGCGTTCACTTTCGTGTTCCACGTCGTGGGACAGTATCAGACCGTAACACCATTTTGAGGTGGATGGAAGCATTCAACACAACATGTAATGTGATGATGAAAAAACCGCCAGGGCGAAACCGTACTGTTAGAACCCCCGAAAACGTAGACAGAGTGAGAGTTGACACGCTGCAAAGCCCGAATCGATCCGTCCGTTTGCGTGCCAGATCCCTAGGGATCCACGCGTCCTCCGTACCTACGTCGCATCTTGAAGAAAGATTTAGTGTTCCATCCTTACAAAATCCAAGTTTGTCAACAACTGTTGCCAGCGGATTATGCACAACGTGTTTATTTTGCACAGCTCATGATTGAATAGTTTGATAACAACGACATGACGTGGTTTATGAGTGATGAAGCACATTTTTATTGACATGGATACGTCAATAAACAAAATTGTCGATATTGCGTCTCCAGTGA